TCTGGCCACTCATCATAGCGAACCCAGGTGCAATGCTAGAATAGAGTAAAGGAGTTTAAAGAATAGGGTAACACTAAAACTACTCAATTTGCGATCTAAGTATCACGACGCGTCTTGCACTTAAAAACTTGTAAGTCTTCCGACCTGTTCCAGGCAAGGGATCTGTTTGACCCACCCGTTAAATGGACAGTTGTTAGTAAGACAAAAGCATAAGTAGAACCCCAGGAAGTACATTGGTCTGTGGTTTTGTAGAGTAGCACCCCCCAGCTCAATCCCTCTATAAGAAGCGGCCTCCATACCCTAGTGGTAAGGGAGAAGACACGTAAAGGCCAGGCATTTACACCCCTGATAAAAGTAAAGGCCAGGCGCCACCGGCACCTAAGACAACTGGTTATAAGACCACTCTCGATCAAGTCGATCGAGTGGCCGCCTACATTGGACCCCGACTGAAGCATATCCTCTCGCCCCCCCAAGGTCGACCTCCATCAAGGCCGACGTCTACATCATCACCAAGTCCTCCGAGGAGTGAAACCCGCCAAGCCTACGGGTACACAAGGTGAGTCAAGGTCCACAAGCGGCATCGTGTTACCCCCTCCAACAGTCGGCAGTCCGGCACAGTGAGTGGTTTGTGGTCTCGTCCAACAGTTTAGACAAATCACTTCACCACAGCGTAGTCAATGAGCTTACCAGTGCTATCGATATACACGCTTACTTTTTTGTCAAGGAGTTTAGCTTATACATGAAGTCGAGGAATTCGATCTTGTGTACGAGTACGGTGCCAGCACCTCGAAAGTTTGATAGTTTCAGCATGCATGATATATTAAGGGTAATGTTACCTGCACCTTATTTATTACTAAGAGTTCTGCCAATATATACACCATACTATATTCCCTTATTATACCCAATTTGCAAAAAAGGTATTGTATCAGGCAGGGTACACTATGAATTCACATGTTATACAAAAATTCTTTCGGATAACAAAGCCGGCAGTGGTGTAGCAGGCTGTCAATTACACAAATAGCCTGATTTTAAACCTAGCAGTGATAACACAGAAAGAACCCTCAGAGGGAGGAACTGGATCCTCCGCGCAAGTCCTTTTGTTTTAGATTTAATGCGATGCACATACGAAAAGCGCTGCAAACATTAAATGAAATGCCCCTACTTAACAGCTAGATCGTCAAATGCATCTGTAATATCAGCATCATCTGCATCATCGGAGGCTTCTTCGTCAGCACTCACACATTTAATCTGAAAGAGTTCACCGTACACGTTTATCTTGGTAAGTGCCAGTCGCATTAGTCAAAAGAAAACTTAGATGCGGCAATTAGCTTGCGGTCAACATCGTTGAAGACAGCTTTCAACAAATTGCTAGCCACCACCTCTTACAAGCTCGGTGGTCGCATATTTACGTTCTTGGTGTACTGCACGCGATAAGATACCTTTCAGTCAGCAATCACGCTGGATAGACAATCGTTGAACGACTTGCATGTTCCGATGCCCCTGCCTGCAAGTACGACGTTAGACCTGCAATAATGTCCATCATTTAGATCTTCTTGCTGATGCACTTCGCCTTGACATCCTTCGCTATATGCGCTTGCATCGAGTCCCATACGATCCCTTTGCCGTCGCAGAAGTTTAGAAGCGCTGGAAACATCAAGTCGATTTACTTAATGAAAAGCTCTCTGTTTATCTTGGCATGCTTCGACACGCAACGTAAACCGCGACGCTCTTCTGGATCGGTTTTTTCGCGCCTTTTCAGATCAAAAGAGGTGACAGCTTTGTCCCTGTGGCTGCGACAGTAAGCGCAACAGTGATCTGCATTGAAGCAAACTCTGTCGACCGCAAAACGATACGACGTGCTTCGGCAAAGTCCACAGTGTCACGCTGCGTGTAACGGGGTAGACCGTTACATGAAAATGACAACAAACGGTGTCAATAGGAATATTGTCTAGCATCACAATATTCTACCTACATTATCCGAGATGGATAAAATCAAAGGAATTTTATCCCCTTTTTGATAATGTCCATGTGCTGCTCCAAGATTGGTTGATATAAGACATGTCAACCATAGATTACCACCAATCGCTGCTAGACGCGCGCAATGAGTGGTGAGCAGGTTGTCGTCATACGACGGCGTAGTTTAATATAGCTAGATAAATGTTAAGGTTGTATTGATAGCTTAACTATATTAAATACAGTTCTCTTTTTACATTTACTTGATCGAGTCGCTCAAGTAGTTTAGCTTCCTCTGCACGTACTAGTGTACGTGAAGTTTCGTTGCACCCAAACAAAGGGTGCCCCGTTACACTGCGGGTCTTCGGAAATACTGCCGTCTTATTCACCAGGAGCTCGCCGCTGGGGTTGAGCTCGCTCTCCTTCGATGAGAGTCGCGTAAGAAAATACACGGCACGCACAGTGAGCTAATCGTCACCCAATACGGTGAGGTCGGTCTTCCATCGGAGTGAGGTCACAGCGAGTCATGAAGCGAGCGAGCCACACGCTCGATGCGCAGAATTTATCGTCGTACAGCTCAGCTTCAGCGAGCTCGAGTACAGATGATTAAAATTACTCACGCAACACCTTTTCCTTCGTTGATCTCAATGAAACGATATGATCAAACAGGACTATATATATACCTCGCCAAGCCGTGTGTGTCTATCGCCACCTGTCACACGCAGCTTCAACTCCGGGGAGTTCGTGTTGGCTTTGCGATTTTCTACCAGTAGCGAATCTGGGCCCCTGACAATTTCCACCTTTACTCCGCTTGAATGTGCTTCGATGCGCGCGTAGAAACCACACAACCAGGACCTTCGATCCACTCGATCACTTCTCGCTTCTCGAGATTGGTCTTGGAAACGCGGCTGGGTTCCATGGTAAGCACTAGAGGATGAAGGTCTTTAATGCGAATCGAGCTTGATATCTAGTGATTCAAACGAACTGGAGGTGAACGGGCCTTTCTGAGTAAGCGCTGCCAACCATTTACTATGGCAATAATTGGTAAAAAATGGTTTTTTGCCAACCAGTTTATGTGACACTAATGGGCACGTTACAATACTGTTAGTAAACCTTAAAATATGGTTTGGATATTATTTCCGGACAAAGTAGATTATGCGGCAGAACCCGTATATTACACCCCATACAACCACACCCATTCCACACCACAATATGGTTTATACGACAAAAATCGCGCCACTATGCCTCTGTACCACCACTATCGCGATAATTTTGCATCTATCGTACTAGCGTTTAATAGTACACGAAGAAAAATTATGTCAGCTTGCAATCGACGACTGAGCTCTTTCATTTCGTAAAAGATTGACTGACGACCCCAACATACTTACTCTATGCCCCACTTTTTTCCTCAAACACCCCATACATCACACTCATACCGAACCACAATTCTCGTTGCTCTGCGTTCTTGCTTGTGTCTTAGCGCTGGACACAACGCACGAATCTGCTCCTTCGCGCCAAAAGACGATCACTGAGTTACGGCCAAAATCTACAGCAAGCACCAAGGAAAAGACTTGTAAAAAGAAACAAAAGACGATGCAATCTCGGTTGAGCGTACGTAAAAATGAAGGAAAAATTAAACGACGAATACATGCTAAAACTGATTTCGGCAATTACATCGTAAGTATTTAATGGAGCAGCACACGTTTTCCTTTATTGGTTATAAATTTGGGTAATCGTGGTAAATTTGGGTAAAACGACAGGCAATGGTACAAGAAGATAGCGGCAATCGAGTGATTCCCCACAGATCATTGTCTCAATTCCGTTAAGTATTTGTTAAGATGCGTGGTGATGGTAAAATGGGATCCTTTTATTTTCAGAAGAGCCTTTTATTGCGAGTCCGGAGGGTGAAGCTATTCGTGAGTGTGCGCAAGGTTGAATACCGACTTTTTAAATCGTACTTATCTGTCTGTGTGTTTGTGTCTGTAAAAGACGCGGTTTTTAGGTGTACCTGACTCGTACTGAATGCGATCTAGTCTGTCCCCCCTCATCAGTCACTTAGCATGATAGGTGTCCCTCTTTGGCTAAAATAACTATTGTGAAGCACGCATGTAATTGGCTTAAAATCGATTAAAGGTGAATGTGATCACAGAAACAAATGCTAGATGCTCATAAACAAAGGCTGATCGCGTTGCCTTGCTATGCTGTACTGTGTTGAAATATACATGTTCAGCATTCTCCTCATTCTTCAGTGTCTGCTGATGTATAGCGCTTTGCAACCTGATTCAGATGTCCAAGCTGAAACAATTTTTATAAAAGGGCAAGCCCTAGAGCTCGCTTCCCTACCTTAATTATAACGTCCTGTATCCATTCCAATCACCAAATTAATAACATTTAGAATTCTGTCCGAGCATCAGCAATCTTCTTATAAATTACATTATTTGTGACGGGCATTATCCCGTTAAAAACGTGGGCACTATTCGGTGAAACCCGTTCGTTCTATGGGCGGTCGTTATTTTCGCATGCATAGAATGTTTACGTGGAAGAGAGGTAACGATGTGCGTGCATTAACGATGACAGTTGGACGGTGACATTTTTCGAAAAACCCGCATCAATCATAAATCGACTCGACCTCGGACCTCGGCCGCTGTTTTTCGCCAAAGCTATCCGGATTTGTCTTCAAGAGCCGTTCGAATGGTAAAAACCACACTGCGTTTCTCCAATTCAAGTAAATGCGTCACTTGACTGCGCTTGTTGTGACTTCAAGTGACGTGCAAGAGAGTGCTTCAGTTCGCCCTCTATTTTTCAGTGGACGGAAGTCACGAAATCGGTTGACGCCAACTCTATCCGCTGCTTTCACTTGGAAGTGAGAGAATTGAGCCTTTCCGGTTCTGTTGCTTTCAGGATGCAGATCTGCTCGCTCGCACTTTCTTGACGAGTTGACGGACACCCTGCAGAGATGAGAAGCGCAAAGTCTGGAGATCCACTGCAGCCTCATTCACACCAGTGTCCATTTCCAAAACCCCTGAACGAGGTGCAAGTCTTTATCCATGCCACCTACTTCTGTGTCGATGGCATCTCCTGCCGGTGCCTCCCGTTATCCATCGGACGAAACAGCATCAACGGGGTCAATCACCACCGCTCCATTATTCAATGGACTTGTTGACGACATGACGAGTTTCGCTGACCTTGGACAGGCTGAAGGAGGAGACGAGGACAGCGACTCGAACTTTTGGGACATCATTGCTGGCTCCCACCTGAAACTAGAAAACTATGTAGACCAACCTTATGACCAGGAAATGGCCGTGCCGGCACCGCACTTCATGTCTTCGACGACCCCACCTCTCTCGTCATCGATGAGCTCAGAAGCGACTGCACCCGTTCCATTGCCGAGTCTACCGGAGTACGAAGAGTACGTAGCACACTGCAGTTCGTATTGTATGGCTATTAGACCTTTTTACACGCGACATATTTGGATCTAACAACCTCACTTTCGATGCTAGTTTCTCGACGTTACCATCATTGATGTGCAGCCAAACAGCGCATCCCGGACTCGCACCCAGCCATCTTGTTACGTTCGAACCTCGTCAAGACGGCACACCATTCGGTACGAAGTATGCGATGATCTGCGCTGGATTGTTAGTGTACCTACTAACGCTGTTTGCCGTTTGCTGTCTGGTGTGTAGCGCTATCAAAGCCCATTGTTCGTGAAGATGGGTTTCTACTCGTGGGCACGGAAGTCATCGCAGATGCATCATCAAGTACAAAACGCGAGCAGAACCGAATTTTTGTGACGAATTTCCTCACCTCAGCGACAACCGCACAGCCACCAGCCCACATTCTGGTGAAAGAAGTATGCACTTATCTGCATTATCGTCTCCAAGTTCGATCGGATCATTGACATGTATGCGTGCACGCTAACCTTTGTCGACAGGAGGTTCGCGATGCACGCTGGATAGGTGCCCGAGCCGCCGTATTGGCCATCGGCAAAGAGATCCAGCTCATTCAGTTAGGTGATCTCTCCATGAGAGGTTCTTGCAAGATGCAAGGTAGGTATTGCACAAGCGACGCAATGGTCTTGGTCTCACGAGCTCGTGTGCTTTGTAGCTCCAATCAACGCTGTTCACGCCGACACGATACGAGAGCTGGCTGTTTCGTCTACTACGAACTCTTACGTGGTGTCTGGGGGTAAGTACGCGTTAAGCTGTTTCCCTGCCAAGCGAGACTATGCTGACAATGTGTTCACGCTGCTCGAAATTGTACCAGGCTTTGACGAAACTGTTGTACTGACCGATCTGCGAAATCAGGGAGACCCGCAAGCGGCAGCGATCATTGGGAAGTATAACGCGGGCGACGTGGTGAGCAGCGTTCGATGGACACCTTCGGATTCTCAATTGAGTTGGACAACTGATGGGGGCGATTTTCAAGTCGCTGACATGCGTGTTCAATCGCCTCAGATGCAAGTCCCCCTTCACACGTACCAGGTAAGCGCAACGCTAATTACCTCTTTGACAAGTTGTTTCGTGCGAGCTTACGTCCAAACTTTGCTGTGCAGAACCTGACAGCATTTGGCGGCCTCTTCTCTCACGAATACTTGAGCCCCCACAACATCGCTCTCGGGTTCGAGTACGGTCACATCGCCTTTATCGATATCCGAATGCCTCGTCACAATTTTTGGTACTCACGTAGTTGCAACAAACTATGGGAGCTACACGCAACTAACAAGGTGTTGTGATAATGCTCTAGCACCTCTACAATCGAGTCGAAGTTAGAAGGCACCGGTGAAATCTGTCGTTACAAGACCGACAAAATTGCGATCTTTGGATGTGGCGGGTACGACTAGCAAGCATGGTTTTTCACACGCGCATACTAATTCCAACGTGATGCTAGGTTTTCCACTGCGTATATCGATGGAACAGCTAAGAGCTTGGATCAGATCATCCTGTACGTCCATTACCTGAACTCGTGCGTTAAAAACGGGTTTTGATGTTGACTCAAATGATGTCTTCTGCAGGCAACAGCATCGGACGCTGACTTCGTACAAAACGAGCGGCGACTTTTCCTATGAGAGAGGATTGTATCTGGCTGTCTCTGACAAGTGCGTATTGATTGTTAGCTGGACGAAAATGGACGCTTGCTGTTGCTGTACTGACCGGTTGTATCTGTGTTTTTCACAATGCTAGCACCGGCACAGTGTCCGTGTACACGGATGATACCGTCTTTGGCACATCAACGGCATCATGTCACGGCAGCATTGATGGCTGGTGAACTCCGTCGGAACAAGTGTGAAAAGGTGTGGCGAAAGTGTTGCAATCTACATGGCATTGCGAAATTTAGTGGTGTTGCGTGCGTGAGATCTCTTGTAGTAGCTTCGTCAAGTTGGTTTGCGGCTTCAAATTAATGAAACTATCAAAGTGAGACCACGAGTATCCATCTGTGTGCGCGACATCGCTGGTAGTATCTACAGGAGACGCAAGTCAGAACAAACACTCGCGAAGCAAGGAAAAACATGCAGCGCTATTTACCTGAATTCATGGCAAGCTGGACACGTCCGAGAGCATTGCACTCGTACCACTCCAATTCTTTGCATCGTGACTTGTTGGACAGCCCAATCATGGTAGTTGCCAGTTGCGTCCGCAATGCAGGGGACTGGAGAGCTTGCGAGAATTTGATGCGGGTCGGACGCTTGAACTCAGCCAGACCGGCCAGAATACGCTGAAGGGCGTTCACTTGCTGGTCTGTGCAAAGGTACAACATTTCAATCAGACGAACAACTGCTAGGCAGGCTTGCTCGCCTTCATGTTGAAGAAACAAGTTCTTTACTCCATCCTCGTCGTCATCGTCGTTCTTACTTGCTCTGACGTCTTCGTCATACACGCGTTTCCAGAGCTGCAGCCCCCATCCGATAGCAAGAAAAATAAGCTTATTGTTGCGCTGTTTGACAGACTTGGCTCGTGATTTCGCACATGCCTTCGCTGAGCTCGACGCCGTTACGCTATCGCCTTGCAACAAGAGAAACAAGCGCGTGCGGTGCACCCAATTTATCCCTTCCACACGCGTGTACCGCGAGCGACACGCATGCATATCCTGTTGAAAGCAGTAAATGTAAAACTGCACTACCAACAGATTGCGACGCCAACTCTCGTCTTTCTTGGGCTTCCCGTCTTCTCTGACTCGCCCATTTCCGCTAACCTCCTGGAGTGCCGTCGCCAAGGGCTCCCATTGGTTCGGAAACGTCACGGCACAACGACATGCCGACGCTTTATCGAAGACAAACACCAGCGCCGCATAGATTGCAACCGCATCGTTATACGCAACAGCTTCGTGGCTCTGAATGCGATCAATCAGCTCAGTGTAGAGCAAATCTGAAGGATACTCCTTGCCGAGTACCACGATACTCCGGAGTGTAGCAATAGCCACTCCAGGGTCATTTGTGCTAAGGGACGTGACCATATCGAACACCAGCGACGCATTCATGGACGACTCGAGTGACGACGACGGCATAAACGGCTTCAGTCCGTCCGACTGGCTGGCAGAAGGCGTACCAAAGTCTGGAGAAGCTCCTGACATTGTACGACGCTTTGACGCTCGCTGTGGTCCATTTTCAGGCGTCAAGAATTCAGCAACAGCGTGACTGCGTTTTGTTGCCCCGTTTCGTGGCGACGTCTGGATACTGGACTCAAGGAGCTTCTTCGAGGCACTCGGTTTGGATGTCGAGGTCACCGCACTCAGTATCTCCTCCAGCTTGACGTCACTATCACTATCGCTGTCACTAAAGACAGTACGGACGTGGCTTTTATTCGTAGCACAACAAGCGGTCGTGGCGGACCTGAACTTGCGGCTGCATCTTGTGTCGACAGTTTCTACCAGGATTCACACACAGTAGTAAGACAGCAGCGAGGGAGATACCGCACAGAGAGCGAGGATGCGGCAGGTAATCCAATAAGGTTACGTCTCCAGTGGCTCGCAACGTACCGTCTGACGTAGCGGCTGCTTCCGTCGCAGGGGCTGCCGTCTTGCTCGTTGTCGTCGGCATTTCGAACAACCTACCGGACAGTGATGATGATAATATTCCAGGTTCAGACTCTCATATCTTATACTTAATAAAACGCCCGAGTCTAAAAAACGAGTCCACCGCGACGGTCAATCAAACCGTCGAGGCGATCACGACGGTAAACCGAAACATGTCGACGCTCCCAGCGCCTGCAGCTGTCGCCGGGACGCAGACGATTGCGGGCGTGCCCGTGGAGCTCGGCCAGTCGGTCCACGCGAACACGAAGAAGCAGCTGCAGCGCCAGATCAACTCGATCGTCGGCTGGAACGAGCTGGACCGGGCGCCCCTGACTGTGGCCCAGCCGATGCTCCGTGGGAGCGAGCACCAGGTGGGCGAGCACCCGTACTTTGTCTGTGAAAAGTCCGTGGGGATCCGGTACTTGGTGCTGCTCGTACAGGGCCGTTGCTACCTCATTGCGCAGAATTATGACTTTCGAGAGGTGACGCTCTTCTGTCCCGTGCGGCCCGACCGACTGCAGCCAGGCGTCGACCGCAATACGGTCGTCCCGCATCAATGGACCATTTTAGACGGACTCTTGGTGTGTGATAGAGACAGCACCAAGTCGGTGCTCACACTGCTGCTGTACGACATTCTGGCACTCAATGGCAGTCCCGTGATGACCTCGAAGCTACAGGACCGACTCAAGTTGATCCAAAATGACGTCGTGGGGCCACGCAAGCAGCTGCCGTTGCCCAAAGGACATCCGCCTGACATGTTCCAGCTCGTGCTGCAGTCCATGTACCCCATTGATCGGGTTGGGCATGTTATTCGTAGCATCCTGCCACGAGTGTCCCAGACGAGACAGAATGCAGGGTTGGTGTTTACGCCAGTGCTGCTGCCGTACACACCGGGACATTCGAAGGGATTGTTTCATTGGACGCCAGCAGCAGTGCTATTTGCAGACTTTCAGCTGGGTGTAGAGTGGCGAGGCCGCCCGCCAAAGCCTGGGTTTAAGTTGGTGATCCATGATAAACGCACTCAGGTCTTCCAAGACTGGATTACATTCACACCAGGTATGCGTTGTGACTTCCAGCGTCTTTCACGAATTGTACGGCGATCTAATGACTGATTATGCTCTATGCTTTTTTTTGTGACATCAGAGGATTTTGAAGCGTTCCGACAAGATAAAAAAGCGTCCTCGCGCATTGTAGAGTGTGTGTATGATCCAGAATGGCTCACGTACATCCCTTCGCATGACAAAAGCACATGGGATGTTGGGAGCACGGAGTTTAGCGCTACTGAGCGTGGTGTTGGATGGAGGAAAGGTGCGTAAGCTAGGCTTCTTTGTCTTGTAGGTAGCATTGCATGACGTTGTGTCTTTGTGCTTGGTGTAAAGGTGGCTGGAAATTTGTTAGATGTCGTCCGGATCGTAGTATGCCGCTCGAGCGCACTTTTCTTACGATGATTGAAAAAGCAGTTGGCGAAGATATTAAGCTCGACGAGATTGAACGATTCTTTCCCGACGATCCATCGAAAAAGTCCATGTCGGTTCAGCATCAAGGCCGGAATGACACCGCTGCAACGCCTGATGTACGAGCTTTCTGCGATATCCGTCATCCTCCTTCTAACACGCTTTGACGAACGGTAAATCTTGATCACCTAACAGGACTTAACCCCACCAAGCAAGAAAAAACGAAGCAGCAGTGGAGCTAGTGGAAGTCAAGCAACCGGTACTGGTGTCTGTTACGACTTCCAGAACAAGGGCATGTGCCAGCGTGGCCGGTTCTGCCACTTTTCGCACTGTGCCTGCAACTCCACGTGCTCATGCACGCTGACCAAGAATACTTATGGTAACGTTGTAGGAGAGCACGTACGGAGCCCACGAGCTAACTTCTTTCTGCCATGTCCGTGCACAGGCCAACGACCATCGTATAGAAGAAATGACTACGATGCCCCGCCATCTCCCGAAGCTTCGCCGTCGTCCAGCGCTGATGCGTCCACGGTGCCAGATATCTCACCCTCCTTGCGGCACACAAACGGCGATACTAGCTCAAAGACTGAGGGCCATGCAGGAGAGGAAGGAGAAGCTGGTGAGCTTACTGACAATAGTACGTTGACTATGCCCGCGGCTGTATGGACGCTACTGTCCGTATCGTAACTGACGTCATGCCTTTCTTTCATCCCAGGTAATGTGCATGTCAACAGCATTTTTGCACCTCTCGTAATCTTTAATAAGGAAACGATTGCTGCTAAGCGCGCGCAGTTGACAGCGGCCGGGAATCGCCGTATCTGGGCCAGCCTTGGAATCGAAGATAAGCCGCAACGCGCACGTCCTTGTGGGTTGATCGTATCGAGGTCCGGTGAAGTGGCGTATGTCCGTCCATCGGAAAAGTAAGGCGCTGCTACTGCTAGTATTGAGACAACACGCAAGCTTCGTTTTTATTACTTCCGTCAAAAAGTACAAGAGGATGGCCGGGCTGCTACCTGAAGATTGGTCCGTCGTTTTTGCGAGTACTCATGGCAGCACCGTGAGTGTACTACCCCGGAGTGGCAAATCTACTACTACTGCTTCGGTGCGGCCTTCCTTGGCAGATCTTCAAACACCATTGTGCCATCCTTCAGGCCTTGGATCTCGTCTTTGGTGAGGAAGCGACCCCCGGGTCCGCGTGGTCGCCGCATAGCGTGCTTATGGCGAGAGTCATGGAGGTATGCTTTGCGCTGACGAGGGTTTCCCAGTTTGGCCTCCAGCTTTGCTCGTTGCTGACGACGAATCATTATCCGGTGGTACTGCTTGGCATTCACGTAAACTGGCTCTTCCTCCGTAACTTCAGCCGAGTTGGGGGTTGTCGGACGCGGGAACATCGACTGAGACAGCTGCAAGACATCAAGATGACTTTTAGTTTTCGTAAAGAAACACAAAGCATAGTGTCATAAAGGCAGCATGGCTACTGTAGCCATCTTACCATGTAAGGCTGCATCATGGCACTGGAACTGTACATGGCACGGAGCTGCTCACTATTTGTTTGTTGCTGTGTTGGGCAGAAATAGAACATGCACACACAAATGTCAGCCATAACAGCATCGACGGCAACTCCTGAAGTACCCCAATGTCGATTTTACCATCTGATATGAAGTAGCAGTGGATTAAGTAACAACAACAAAACACTTGGTCAGTCCGGTAGTAGAATTCATGACTTCCGGCAAATGGAGAGAGACGCGCTTACGAGCTGCTGGATGTACTGCTGCTGTTGCTGCTGGAACAGAGCCAGCTGCGCCTGGAGATCAGCTTGCGAGGCATCGGCGCCAGCGCTTACGCTGTTGCTGTTGGCGGTATCCGAGTCGGTGAAGATCAACTTGGTGTCGGTGCTAGTGCTCGTCGTGTCTTCCATGCTGCTACTTTTGGCGTACGATGTTGTGTGTGCCACACTCCGGCGTGTCATCATTGCTTGGAGACTCTGTGAGGATTCATACAAAGAATAGCTCAGTTTTGTGCTCACGTTGTTCGAACAACCGCATGCGAACTGTAGTAGTGCTTTGGCTTCGTTTTGGCAACACAAAAGAGTCAACATACATGAGCCTTCACTAAAGCTTGCTGAAGCTAGAGACGTTGCCTCAGGACGATGTAGTTGAGTCTTTGTTCATTGTACTAGTAAATGTCACCTTAATAATGACAGTACTCATCAAGTGCAACGTGCGCAACTGCTCTATTAATGTGCGAAAGGAGTTGATCGGTGAGCAAAGCATATCTGACAACCGACCCCGGCGGCCGAGTGGATAAGCACTCGCATCTGGACCAAGAGGTACATGGATCGTATATCGATACGTGGGGGCGAGTCGATTCATAAAGCCGGAAAGTGGAATCCACAGCCGGGTACCCACCCTTGGATATCGCTGGTCGGTCTGCGTACCGGGATGTACCTCAACAACAAAATCGAATCAAAATCTGACAGGACGTGTCGACGGCTTCAGGTTCTAATTCGTCAAAGCTGGAGCATGTCTTTCGATTGCAATTTGCAGCTTCCGAAGCTGAGCTCGCTGAATGTGGGTGGGTCATCCGGTACGATCAGGCCCATGTGAATAGTAGTTATAGCGTGGCGTGTAGGTGGTTGTGGCAGCGGGATCTGCAACGTTTGATAGTAAACACTATTTTGAAGCAAGTGAAGTGTGAATATGAGGACATAGGTCTAAGTTAGACTCGCTTTGTACGGGTTATTGGAAGAAGTGCAAGATGGTGAGCGTGTGTTGGAGATCGGCCGACCACTCTCGGCAGGTAGGTGCAGCCACGGACAGTTTATAAATGGTTGGATGGTAGAGAACGTGAGAAACATTTTTGTAGGACGTTCAAACTATATCACTTCTACTTTCCACAGTATCCTCTCAACTTATTAAGTCTAACACGGGTGTGGCAAGTTGAATTTGTAAGGGTCTGTCACCTACGAGACGACCAGGTTGCGAGGTGTAGACAGCATTCTAGAGATGCTGCGGGTCCGTGTCACGACGAACAAAAGCAGGTGGTTTCGCTACGTGCGCAGTCACCAAGATATAAAACGATTGAGGCATTATGTTGCCAGCTGTATCGGAATCACGCGGAAGGAAATCATAGTATTGAACCAGTAATCATGTCTGATGGACCCAGCCACCCTCGAGTCGATTTCAGCAGCTAATGGAGCCAACGTGAGCGACAAGCTTCCGAGACTGGTCTCACCAAAGCAACTGTTATGATACAGCAAAACTGCTTTGTCCGTGCACCCGATAAGTTTTTCGGAGCATGATACAGCAGAACTGCTTTGCCCGTGCACCACATACATGGAGTTTGTCGGAGCTGGCGCTGTTTATCGAAATGAAGGATGCTAAGATGTCACAAGGTAGGGACTTTACACGAACCTTCTTTCTTGTGTGCATTCACTATCGTCTCCATGTACAATAAAGAGGACCGACGCAACGTTGCTGATATGGTAGATGAAACACAACAAGCACGACCATAATGCTCGGAGACAAGCGCTAGTTGTAGTCATTTGGACAAGTATTGCAGCATAAAGCAGTGCTTCGCGCGTATGGCAAACTGTGAACTTGTGGTGATGCATGATCGTCTTTTGGATTCTTTCGTAAGCAGGCGGTAAAACGTTTATTTTGCTCCATTTTCGTTTGGTGTCCTCATTCACGTCAGATCTGATGAAAGTACTACTGTCGCAGAGACACATGTTATTAGTGACATGCGGACCAGTTCGCGGTATGCTGTAGGGAGATTCCCTCGAAAACCTACGCCAAGACATTATTCCATGAGTACCGCAGTACTGACAAAGAGCAAACCCAAAGCGATACTTTTTTGCCAGTGTACATCGCGATTCTTTTTACTATGGGAATTGTTTAGTAAGACGTTTGCGGTCGTGCGTGACTTCAAAGTAGTTGGCAATGTTTACTCACCCGGATGGAGATTCCGACGAACTCACGACGTTGACCTTACATATCTAGCTTATGCAAGAGACGAAAGTGATCTGAACTGGTTCAGAACCTACAAACCTATCAGCAGCGAACTCGTCGATGAGCTACACATTGGATACTCTCATGTGAATAAGAGGTCTCTTTGTACATCAACCGAATGATGTACAAGCTTTTAAGGACTACAGCATGAAGGAAGTATGCAATGCTCTTCTGACGACGACATAACCGCCGATGTTGAGCTTGCTATACGTCGCTGGCGATCCAGACTAGATGCGTGTCGCGTGTAGTCACAGTTGTACGTGTGGTCATTATCGTGATGGCAGGCACGTCACTGATGGTACGGTCCGGTGCTGGATGGTCGCCAACGGCAGCGCGCCATGTAGTAGTAGCGGATACGACGAGCCGTCCTTTTGTCAAGAGTGAATCACCCAGCACCGTGTCCGGTAACGACAAAAGCCATCGACACTTTACCGGAATCATGCGACCACGCCAACATCCCACTGATCAAACAGCCTGCATGAGATCCTGTATTTACAGTATTACTTTACTGACTGGTGGGCTCGATTTGGTGCTTCTTCTCTTGGACGATGCGGAAGAAGGCCGCCACACTCTCAGATGCCCTACACATCGTCATCAGTGTTAGCTATAGATGTATCGTCCTAAATACAAGACTCCCTCACCGTTGACATGCCTCCGAACATGCAAAAAACTGCTCTTCGGACAATAAGCCTGGTACAGCCACAACATGTCAGGTTGTTAGCACTATCGATCCAGATTCTGCATAAGCATCACGTTATAGCACCATTGGTGATGCAAGTCAGGACACCGTCGCTTGTACTAGACCGCGCAGCGGTTACCCATGACACAGATGCCTGTAAGCATCCCCCAATACAAGCAACCACAATCAGCACGAGTCGCGCGATTTGCTCAGATACACAAAAACAACACTGCTGCAATACCTCTTCTTCCACCGATGTCGGGTCCAAGTTCAAACTGCCGTCGGCTGAAATCCCGCACGAAGACGCCGTGATGACCGAGATCATCGGAATTCCCGCATCAATCAGGGCCAAACACACCGCGTTGATCGCAACTGCAAGGAGGTGCTACCAAAAAACGACAGAAACAAGTTGCCAGTGTACAGTTAAGGACAACCACTTGAAGTGGCACACAGCACGTATTTTTCAACATATAAACCGACGCACACACACACATGCACCAAATAAATACTCAATGTCACACGCAAACAGTCAAAGCAGCAACAGACACAAGTCGTGGAAAGGATATCGAGCCATTGTCCTGAATAACTTGCACCACGATGCTGATAACTGCACGAGGGAAATTCTTCGTGAGCACCACGGGCGCGAACGTCTCGCGGATGATCTGCTCGTACTCCTTCTCCTTGGACGCTACAGTAGCAGCAGCAACAGCAACAACAACAACAACAACAGCAGGATACCCACAACACCCACCAGTCACATGAGTGTTCCATCATGCAAACCACTAAGCTGCAGTCTTCGTTCAGTACGTACTCGACACGCCCTTCTCCAGCTTGAAACACACGTCCAGAGTAGCTCGATCGGTCTGCTCGCTGCGCCAATTGCGGGCTTGGCCAGGGCCGTACACTGCAGCCAACACGGTGCTACTGCCATGCGACATGCGTGCCGATCCATCAGCACGGAAGAGCGCGCCCTGCTCCGACGCCAGTGGCCGCAGTTCGTTGCCCGCGCGGCCGTCCTGACGCTTCGCGCTCGTCGTCGTTGCTGCCACCATTGACGTGACTGGAGCTGCTCGAAGGCTGCTGTTGCTCTTGTGTTGCGTGGTACAGTGGTGTACCGCTGGTGCGCCACACCACTTTTGATCGTACAATTGACCGCTTTGGAGGGACAGTCGAGTCGGGACAAACTAAACCACTTTTTTTATCCGGCTACTCGTACATTCTTGCATTCTTGCGATCAACTGGCATCTGATTCGATCGCCATCTCTCAATGGCGTGGAGACCATCGCCGCCGTCTACTGCTGCTGCTGCTGGTCCAGACGCACGCGCCCCCATGACTGCACACAACGTGCTCTTTCTCATCTGTAAGTTACAGCGGCGCTTGCTCGCTTGACCGGAAAATACTGCACTGATACGACAGCAAGTCCCTCGGTTCTAACGTCTTTTTTGGACCGTCTCATTGTTTTCTTCTGATTCCGTCAGGTTTCGGCATGTTCCTCATGGCTACACTTTTGCCCGTGCTCATGGATTCACTTTACCGACTCCTTATCCTGGTCAGTGCCGTGCTCGCAATTGCAGCCGCAACGAATCCGTCGGACCATTCATTTGCTCTCTGGATCCACCAGCAGAACGAGCCCCGGGACTTGATTCCAGAGGCGTCGGCTGTTGGCGTCTCCAAGTGGTTCTCAGCAGTGTATAACACTGCAAAAGCTCTGGTCCGCAACGAACCGTTGACGTGGCGCTTTTACAATGCGCTCGTCTTTAGTGTCGTCCACGTACCATCAAGAGAGCGCTGGGCTTTTGGTCTCTTTGGAACGTGGCGCTGGGCTGATGAAGCTGGTGCTTATATCACGGCTTTGTGCAGTTCACCCTGGGTCGTGAAGATCGCGAGAGGTGGGACCATGTCGAGTATTGAAGAGTACGTGGTACGTGGTTCTGGCGTTCGTTTAGGTTCGAGTGCAGGGAGGAGGGACAAGGATTTATTAAGACGAAGAAAAGCGGAAGCGTCAAGTGGATGTCCGACTAGTTTTGTGAACGATGACGTAGCGACGACGTCGCATCAACAGATTCGAGCTGAAGCGATGCACATGAAAATTAAAAAGGATTGGAAAAATGCTGCGGTGTTTTTCCTGGAGGCGGCAAAGGTTGCAGGAGCTTTGCTGATTAGGGCGAACTATGAGTTGGAAGCAGCGTGGTGTACGTTGGAGGAAGCAGCGACGTACCCGAACGACCAAAGTGACTTGGTGTGTAAGATTAGAAGGTTGTGTGACGAGTTGGCTTCGGCTGGGTACTTTGATGAAGCAGCGCGCGGATTGTCTGAGTTGGCTCTGAGATTGAAACGAAAGTTTCCTGCGGATTGCAAAACGACTGAGCTTGCCAAGCAAGTGGCTGCATTGTATGTGCAAGCTAAGAATGTCGCTGAAGCTGGTGGTAGCGTGCACAACGCTGCTGAAAATGGTTTATGGGCAGCACAGGTATATGCTGATGCGAGTCTGTGGTCGTTTGCCGAGGAGTGTTTTGAGGCAGTTGGTGACATTCGACGTGAAAATGAGCAGTACGAACTTGCCAATGAAGCGTACGGCAATGCCGTTCTCTGTCGCATTGGCCAGCTTGACATGACTGGTGCGGAGAGTATGCTTAATCGATTCACCGCGTTTATGAACGACGCACTCCGGTCAACTGATATGGACTCCTTTCTATCGAGCGTACTGAAAGCTTATAACAAATGGTCACAACACATTCTTGAGGCAGCAGTAGAGCGCTACGGCTCGTCGCACCGACTGGCACCGTGGCAGGTAAGAACTGCTTTTTGTATGCATCGAGCTGTATCGACGTACCTCCTCTAAATGCACGTTGTAGCGTAAATGTCTTGCCAATTTGCAGGAAAAACTGGACAATGCCGACTTGCGGTAATTCAGGATGCGTGAGTGGCTATGTGATATGCAGATGAACAATGAGTAGATGAAAAATAGCTGCATCTTTCGTACGCTAATACGTTGTCATGTGAGTTTTTTGGACGGAGACTGCGGCTTTTAATTTGATACCTTCGATGCTGGAAAGTCGACTGCCCCTACCTGTGCTTTCTGAGCGCAATCCTTCGTGTCACGAAGACGGTAGCAAAGACGGCTACTGATAAACTGCCGTTTGTTAAGGTGGACAACGTATGAGGATGACACCGTACACGCGCAGATTATTCTGGCTGTTCAAATCGCAGAGCAGATCGGCAATTCGTGAGGAGAAGGATGCTCAACGGTCTTCACAACTGCGAGTGTCAGTCATGAGAAACCATCGGGGTTGGCAATAAGGAGTGAAAGTTTTAACTTCGGAGAAATCGAAACAAGCCTTTGCAGCAGAGGCAATGCAGTACGCACTAAGCCAACTGTCGACGCTACTTGAACGCCTTAACACTGACTGGACCCATGCCTATCAGCTCGGCATTCCGGGCAAGCGTTTTGCTACGATATCCAATTTCAAACCGATCGTATTGCATGATCTTTGGCATTTGAAGCCGGGAGATCACGTGTTTCGGTGTACAACAATATGCATCTCCTTACCTTGATACAGAAGGAAGAAAAGCGGTTGCACAAAGAGCGCAAAAAGCTCAACTCTAAGGTATCTGTCGAACACATTTAGTAATGCCTGCATGGAAGTCGCAGCATCGCTTGTTCCGAATATGCTGAAATGCAAGATCAACATGCTGTGTGGGCACACCTGTTTGTAAAAGATAGGACGTGTACTGTACGTGTTTGCTCCCTATCATAGAACGACCCTTACCCGGGACAGCAATACGATGGCTTGGACTCATCGAAGATCAATGCTTGCTCGTGAGATTAGTTTCGATCGATCTGAGCGTCTGGAAATCGGAACTGGTTCGCTGACGTTTGTGATCCTGGTATTTCTTCACGGTATGTGAGTCCTTGCGTGTAACAAGTCAAAAGTCAAAGCCTTCGAGGAAGGCATTGCGAGCGAAACGCCTGGTGATGATCTGAAGTCGACAGGTAGTCAGTCGGAAGTCTTGGATAGGCAGCAAATGGACTCGATTTGCACCAGTGCGCAAAGATAGAGCTGCGTCTGCATCTATTGTGGCCCTTCCAAGCTCTTTGTGGTCTGTTGTCTCTTAACGTTGTCGATTACCGAATTGACAATCTATCGTTTCGAGCAATCCATTTGGCAACATAAGATCAGCAGCACGGTGGACGCCCGCAGATGTACCAACTACCGGACAATGTCGGCAGATTGAATCGGCATTTGAGGCGAAGCTCAACGTCATTAGAGATAAACCTTGGTGATCCCGAAATAGAGACAATTCCTATGAACGTATACAGCGATTACACTCACAACTTGTGTCCTAATGCTGCGTAAGTAATCCGACCAACGTCGTCGAGGTACTTTAAAAAAGCCGGACGTTTTCATGGCGGCGACAGTTTGACATTTGGACTGCAGCGCATGAACAATTGTATGCCCTTGGATAGAGCGCATTTGTTGTAGCATCGTGACGAAACGTATCAGGTCCGTGAATTCCAGTGTGTTATTTCGATCGTCGGACCTCGGGAGACTTCGAAGACACTAGCACTTTTGCCTGAATGCGCTAACATTTTCGGTTTTTTGCTTTACCCATCCCAAACTGTGCCGGTTATCCATTAGGCCTAAGTATTGTATTGCCGACAGCAGTTAAGCGACGAGCCATGGTTTTCGACCGTTCCTTCGTTGATAACCCCTCATCATTCTCACTACGATGCTGAGCCCTTTCACCTTCCTCCTCTGGCATGGCAGCTTCTACTGTTGTTAATGATGCTATCTTCCTGCTGTTCCGCTGTGGATCTGCGATTAAGTTCTTCTAGCACATCCATTCGGTAGTCAGAAGGAAACCGTTGACACCGCCAAGATAACGCCATTAGCCAAGGCTTCGTTGTACACTCCTATGCAGTAATTTGCATAGAACTATGCGCGTTTCTCATTGAAATACTGAGAGAAATAGGGGGCTCTCGATACAGGCAATGTCACGACTGGCCCATGCCTTGCAAGACTGTAACACTACAAAGGTTGCGGTTGCTTCGGTCCCCGGGTCGGGATTGAGATGCACGCACGCGACAAAGTGGAAGTTGACGTTATCATTGCACAAAGGCGGTAATGGCCACCATATTAATGTCATTATAAGATCATGCTACCGGCGGAGAAGTGCACAACGCGGAAAGAGCGACATCGATGCGAAGGTCGTCCAGGTGCATTTGGCTGAAGCTGCTTTACGGTGACGCACGAATGTGCGACCTTGACTTTTTCGAGTTAAATATGAGCAAGTAAGGTCACGTTGGCTTTTTTGCATGACATTCTTGCCAAGAGCGGGGCTAGGATATGCGACAAGCTCTTGACCTTTTCGATGATGCTGTCCACTTTCCTTTAGTGGCTCGTACCCGTCTGCGTGTGCTGCAAGCCGTAGTGTGCAGTGTATTGCATCACAGTGGTGGGCGATCAATGTTTTAGAAGGCCGCACCCATGGTCGTGAACATGGTCGGCCTTGGGCGATATGGCCACGTTGACGGGTAAAAGAACAATGGCGGGGGTGAACGTCTTGATGTCGATTCCAATCGTGGTCACCACCACTAGGGCTCGCAATAGTGTCCCGTCGCTTTACTGCTGTCGGCGATACGATAATTAGGCCTGATGGATAACCGGCACAGTTTGGGATGTGCAGAGCCAAAAAAGCCGAAATGTTAGTGTATTCAGGCAAAAGTGCTAGTGTCTTCAAAGTCTCCTCGGACCTCCGTACTATCTTCACGACGCTACAGTAGACGCGTCTTCTTCAGCTTTGACATTACGGCCTCAGTAAAGACGATACAAACGGCTCTCACGCCGCTTCATCGTACGAAGTGGTTGGTTACGACGACACAATATGTTTTGTGGTGTCCTTGAGTGCGGCAAGATGTAATGCCTTGGGCACGATAGTCGACGTCAAAAAGTACGGCCATCTCTACTAGAAAACCCAACGATTGTGGTGTGCATTTACTAAGGCATCGCGTTAGCTTCTTGTGATGCACTTGTTTCCGTGAAAAACGGTTGTGATACCTTGATGCAGCTTCGATCCGGGTAACGTGAACAAGGAGATTTGTATGAAGGAACTAGATCGAATCTTGCAAAGGTTCCCTGTAATTGTAAAGGGACGATTGCCGTCAGAATCATGTCGTAGTTGTAGAGTGAGCGGTTCTACGCTGCAAGGAACTCGCATTGGGCCTAGCAGCAAGAATATGCGACCGTATTGCTTTTTCTACCGTGAGAACGAAGATGCAATTGTTAACTGGCACTTTGTCCTTGTCTAAAAAAGCGTGCGTAATGCATCTCTAGCACAATAGTGGACTGCCTGCATGGCTGTGCAGCGACGTTGTCGTTGTGGTACCATCGTAATACTGCGCTTGCAAAACTGCGCAATACCTAGAGCGTTTGAAACTTGCCCGGTCAAGCTCACTTCATTTCCAATCTTGCTTCCATGACGGTACGTCGTCCGGTTTCCACAACAAACCTATTGCTTGCTCTGCTCGTCGCGGTGGTCACTTGCACCACCGTCTCGTCGACCGCAAAAGGTTTCAACGAGCAACAAAAAGGCTCGGATGTCATCGACGACAACCATTCGGAGACCAAGATCTCCATGGAAACGGACGTCGAAATCAAGCATGAACCGGCTACCTTCGACATGCTCAAGCCCAACATACGCACTGATCCGAAAAACGATGACCCGAACGATCCAGCCGTGACTGACGACGACTCTGCTGAGGCTTCTGATGATGTAGACACGGCACAAGAATCTCCTGAACAGTCAAGTGCCGACACTTCGTCTACTGGAAACTCGACCGATGGACATGCCACTTTTGGTGATGTCACATCTGGTAATAACAAGTGCGTCATTGGCAAACCGAACGAGTACATCACCCCGAACGATCTTGAATGGGTGTGGACCCATCGAATGGCCAAGGGCGTGCCCGATTTCAAGAACTATATCACCGACCAGCTCGTGAGTAACAAGGGAAAGCTCAGCTACTGTGTGCGCTGGGACAGCACCGAAAAGCTGTCGAAGAAGGTGGCAATGAAGTTCGAGGCGATGCTCAACCGCCAGTACAAAGCCTGGAATCATTGGCTCAAGGCATACGGTTGCTGGCCGTTTGAGGAGATTGAAGTCACGATTGTCGGATGGGCGACGCGCGATGCCTCGCTTTTCGACTGGTCTGACGACTCGCTCGGTCAGATTTACACGACTGAAAAGGACGAGGACGGTGTTCCGCGGTGCCCGGAGAATTGCTTCAAGCATTTGGACTGTGCAGCCGCCTCCGACACGAGCAAGTGCGAGGGCGTGCCTTTCGACCAGTCACTGTGGCCTACGCTGGGCCAGGGCGGTGGTGCCGGTGGTGACTGGGGACAGCGTGTGGATGCGAAAAACATGCTGGACTCCCTGGACTTGGAGGAGCTGACGATCATATCGCACGAAGTGGGACACGGGTTTGGTCTCCCGGATTTCTACAAGCCCGAGGAACAGCCGAATGAAGACTTTCCGGTCTGCCTGATGAAAGCAGGTTCGGCGCACATGGTCACTCCCGCTGATGGATGGTTGTTGCGTCGCATTTACGAGGAGCTCATGCCTCGTTACAACTTTACATGATACCGCTGTGGTACACAAACCGTTGGAAGTTTAGTGTTCATGTTGTTGCTTGTTGTTGATCGATGTGACCAAATACACGTTGGTCGCCTTATCTGGTCTTGGTCGTTATTGCATTCATAACAAAGCAGCACTCAGAGCAATTATCGGCCTCACGTTTGGTCTTGATGTAACGGGGTAGCCCATTTCATGAAATAGGCACCAAACGGTGTCAATTGGAATATTGTCTAGCATGACAATATTCTATCAATATTATCCGAGATCGATAATATTGAAGGAATATTATCCTCCTTTGATAATATTCATGCGCTGCTCCAAGATTGGTTGATCAAGACATATCAACATAGATTGCCACCAATCGCTGCTAGGCGCGCGCAATGAGTAATGAGCAGGTTGTCGTCGTACGAAGACGTAGTTTAATATAGTCAGATAAAGATTAAAGTTATATTGATAGCGAAACTACATTAAATACACAGTTCTCTTTTTACCTTTACTTAAACGAGTCGTTAAAAAAATTAGCTTCCTCTGCACGTACTAGTGTACGTGAAGTTTCGCGGCACCCCAAACAAAGGGTGCCCCGTTACACCTGGTAGCACTTTGTAGTCCGTCCAACGACTACTTAGTGTCCGTCCAACATGAACATGTTGGACGTAGAAGACGACAGCTTTCACGTCACACATGAAGGCTACTCCCATCTGAGTGACTCTGAGTGGGAGGTAGTGGGCCGCACGAGTGTGCGCATGGTCTAACCCGCCATAAGCGGCATCTTGTTGGAATCTTTAAACAGAGACCAGCAACATGCTGCTATCAACAAGTTCCTACAAGGGGAACTTCCTGTCGAAAGACAGAAGATAGCCTTGCTATAGCAGCAAGGCTCTTATGAGTCGATAAGCGGGCCGACGCACATGCATCGACCCGAAACCTTGAAGATCGATTTCTCAAGGTGCAAGGGAGCCGATGAAGACTCCCTTTTGAAATGGTTCGTCGAGTTAGACGATGCCATCAGGGCGCCTCACATCGAGGGTGACGAGATGCAAGTCACCTTCGCCCTGTCAAATTTGACAGGACCAACAAAGACTTGGGCCTTAGGGCTCAAGCTTCACGACCCAAACGTGTTTGAGTCGTTGGAGATCTTGAAGTCTCGGCTTAAAGAGACGTTTGAGCCGCCGAGAGCCGAGTTCAGAGCACGCTCTGCACTCTTGAGGCTCAAGCAAGGTACGCGTGATGTGCACGCTTACGCACAGCACCTGCGCTACCTTGCGAGTAGCGTTACGGAAAACCCTGTTGATGAGTGCACGCTCATCAACGTGTTCATCTACGGCCTTGTAGATGGGCCGGTGAAGACCTATATGTTCCGAGAGGACTTCCATACGCTGGAAAAGGCAATAGCGTATGCGGAACAGGAAGACTTCAGCCTGAGACAGTCTCAGTATAACTTGTCAAACTATCGTCCGACGAGACGACAGGAAACAGGAGGTCCCGAACCAATGGACCTCGGTTATGTTTTCTGGAGTGATAAATCTCTCTCTCTGGTGCACAAGCGAACGGCAAGATGCCATGGCTGTCAGAAGATTGGACACTACGCTCATGAGTGTAGTGTCCCGAGCACTGCAACACGTCTGAAGACAGGACGTGATGACCGCCGTTGGCCAAGGAAGGGTCTGAGGCGTGGGTCCGACCATGTCGCTAAGCCGAGACAGCAAGTCGGACTGTCAAAAAACTGTCAGGGTCAGTAGGGGCGGAGCACCCTGCTGGTCCAGCAACGTCAAGAGAATTTGCAGGGCTCTTGACGAAGATTGCTCTCAACACGCAGTCTCTGTGTGTTACTGTCCTTAGTGATGAGGTGTCTCTCATCACTTTGAAGATCGAAGTGACAAGTGGAATGTCACTTTGCGCCCTAGTTGACTGCGGTGCGTCGAACAGTTTTATTCGGCACCAGTCGCTGAGGGATAGTAGTCTCGACTATGTTGAGCAAGATTTTCCTCCATCGAGGATGACGGTGTGCCTTGCTACAGGCGCATCCGTAACAGTGAACAAACGTGTAGCGGGAATCCACTGGACGCTATAAGGAAATCAGTACGATGACAACTTCATCGTACTGGATTTGGATGACAAATTCGATGTCATCCTCGGTCTGCCATGGCTTAGAAAATACCAGCCATGGGTTAGCCGACAGCATCGATCCGTGAAGATGCCTGCCGTTTATTCATCAGATGGCCATATGATGAACGTCTTGGAGCGTCCACAAGCGTGTGGATGTACTACGAGTGAGTGTGATGGCCTCACTTGTGGTACGGTCGTTAGTACGACTGCACAAGATCACAGTGTAGAAGACCACTACACTGTGGAACCAGCTTTCGGCACCTGTGTAGATACACAAGCTGCGTCGAAGGTTCACCACTCGAAGAAATCGAGTGGACTGGAAGACGGATGCACACCAAGAAGGGTGCATCCAAGAAGAGAGGTTAGTGTTGTTCAGGATGAACAACACGTTGAAGCGAAATCGACTATGATAGAGTCGATCGTAGAGCAAGCCCGATTGACTGAAAGAGAGTCGAAGCGAAGAGGACGTGACCGTGATAGTACACAAAATGGAAGAAAAATCCAGCGTTCCTGAGCGTGATAACTCCCGAGAGAGTTATTTTGAGGGTGTGGATCCCCAACCACCTGCGGATGTGTTCTCCTAGGAAATCACCGAGACAGTGAATGTCTTGGTGAATGACGGATCAAGTGTAGGCGATTATACACTTGGTCTGATTATGCCTCCGAAGTAAGCTTCGGGGGTAACCAGGCTGCCAATGCCACAATCTAAAAGATCCTTGCGAGATCTGCTCAAGGACAAGATCAAGCAGATCTGCGTACTTGTCACAGAGGACGAGTACGTCGCCGATATTCGGTCGGCACAAGTGTTCAGTGAGAACGAACGGGTTCTCAGTAGCTCATCGATGGACGAGAGTGTCCTCGATGAAAAGACCTGTATTGAGCGATACACATCTCAGTCTTGGGAGTCTTCGAAGACAAATCCTTTGTATAAGGATTTGGTTGAACTCAGGGGTGTTTCCCTAAATCCGTGCCACGCGAGCTGCCTAAAGACAAATACACTTGACGTGAGATCGAACTGAATCCCGGTTTGAAGAACTGTGTCATGAAGCAGTGGCCACTGCCACGTGAATAGGTTACAGCAATCGACAAATCCTTTGCCGATCGCTTAGCGGCTGGTCATGTGAGGAAAAAACATCCCCACATAGCTCTCCGAACTTCTGTGTGCGAAAGGTCACATGAGGGTGTCGGATAGTGCACGCGTTCAACAAATGGAACGCTGCAACGGTACCGGCTCAGACGCCGATACAAAGGAAGGGCGTCATCATTGATGGTATGGAAAAAAGTACCATCTTTCGTCCATGGATTTGATGGGTGGATTCTATCAGATCCTCATGCGTGAACGGGACATCCCATACACAGCAGTTAACACCCCCAGTGGTATGCTCCGGGAGTAGCTAGTGATGCCACAGGGGCTAAGTAACGCTCCAGTAACGTTCAACAGATGTGTTACGAATCTGTTGCGATCGGTGCGCGATTTCGCACCGAGTTACTTCGAAGATGTCGTTCAACATAGCCGGTTTATGGATGGAAAGACGGACGTTGAGATTCATAGCATCCACGTACGGAAGTTCCGTCTCTAATGCGAGAGCATTAGCTGTTTGCGAACCTCAAGAAGTGAATCTTTGCAGCGAACGAGATACCACTTCTCGGTTGCAACGTGGGTAAAACGACGTACGCCTGATCCGAAAAGATCAAGGCAATTAGCAACTGGCCTGTGCCAGTCGACGTCAAGGGACTCCGAAAGTTCCTTGAATTGGCGGCGTACTTGCACAAGTGCTCGCGCAACTACGCCAAGATGACCGTACATCTCTCTCGTCTATTAAAGCAAAGGAGAGGTAAACATGGAGCGCTGAGTGTCAGCGCTCTTTTGAAGGTATCGAGAAAAGCTTGACACAATCGCCTGCGTAGGCGATTGCAGACCAGGACAGACCATTCCACGTGGTCTGTGACGCCAGAGATTTTGCAATCATCTGTGCATTGAAGCAGTATGAATCAGACGGCGCTGAACGCGTCGTCTGTTATCAATCGCATCAGCTACAAGCAGCTGAGCGTAATTACCCGGTGCATGACAAGGAACTTCTTGCCATGAAATACACACTGGCTAAGTTTCGAGTATATCTCTCAAGAGATAGGCCCTTCATCGTTTATACCGGCCATGCGTCATTACGCACGGCCGTTAGAAGTCCACACCTCTCGCAACGAATGTTGAGGTGGCTGTCTTTCTTCGCGGAGTACAACTTCTTCGTGGAGTATAGACCAGGACGACTCAATGTCGTCGGTGATGAGCTTTCGCGTCGGCCCGATTTTGAGCCGACTGCTCAACCCAACGGTAGGAGTGATCCCACTGTAGCGACACTAACAGTGAGTATTCCGTCGTCGAATCTGCTCGACAACGTGCGAAAAGCATACGCAGAAGATGAGTCTCTTCTGAGATTGATGGATTACGTATGTAATCCATGCAGTCAAGCTTTGAAAAGCTTGTCGTTTCAATACCGCTCTTCAAACGAAAGGTATTCGGTTCGTGATGGACTGTTGTACTGTACAGCAGTCAACGGCGATACACCTTGTGTAGTCGTTTGCGCCCATAATGATTTGCGACTGCGCATCATGTATGAGTGTCACGATGCCCCACCAAGTGGGCATCGCGGTAGAGAAAAGACTTACCTCACGGTAAGTCGTGACTTCTGCTGGCCGCGCTAGTATCAGTTTGTGCGCAAATACATTCGCGCTTGCGAAGTTTGTCAACGGGTGAAGCCTAGTCCTTCATCCCGCGCACCCTTGCAGCCTCTACCGATTCTGGCAGAGTGTTGGCAGTCCGTATCGATGGACTTCGTCCTCGGGTTTCCCAAGACGTTCATACGAATACGGGTATTCTTGTGTTTGTTGATCGGTTCAGAAAGATTGTAGATCTTGTTGGTGTACCGGAATCAATCACAGCCCAGGGCTGTGCGCGTGTCTTCATTGATACTATTTTCCGACTTCACGGGTTACCCCGTGAACTCGTGTCGGATAGGGACCCCCGCTTCACAGCGTAGTTTGGCAACCCGTGTTCCGTTCACTTGGAACACGTTTAAAGATGTCAACTTCTGACCATCCCGAAACAGATGGTCAGACGGAACGCGTCAACCACGTCCTCGAAGAGATACTTTGAGGGTACGTCCACTCGTTTACGAGTTGGAGTGAGTTCTTGCCGATGACGGAATTTGCCATCAACAACTCGGTGCAAACGTCGACAATGCATACACCGTTCTTCTTGAATGGCCTACGCCACCCACGTTTACTTGACTTCTTAGAGTGTGACTCTAGATTAAGGGGGGGGTAGACTCGTTCGAGCAAAAATTGATCTGGTTCTTGCTCATCACCCGTCGACAATGGTGTCGACGTGATGGATGCTGATGTCGATGCGATCGACATCGATGATGACGACGACGATGCTGGTATATATAGCATCGCCAATGACTGTCACAGTGAGGACAATGACGCCCTCACTGGTGAAGACAACGTTCTTTCAGTAGTGCACACGAAGCGCACTGCTATTGACAAGGACAAGTCAGCAGAGAAATTTCTGCTGACTCGCGAAGCGGTTGTCCGCTTCGTTCACGACTCTATTGCAGATGCACAAGACAGACAGAAAAGAAACGCAGACAAACATGGAAGATAAAATGTACTTTTCATTTGATGAAGGAGACCTAGTTTTACTGTCTACAGTAAACCTACCGATACACGAAATGGACCGATGTACCTGGGCAGTAATTTACCGCTGACAAACGTGGGCAGCCGTAAATTACTGCCCAGGTACATCGGTTCATTTCGTGTGTTGCGCCGAATGGGCAACGCGTACACGATTGAAATGCCCCGTAAGATGTGTACGCATCCTAAATTAACGTTGGACGTCTCCGCCTGTACTATCAGTATGAGCCCGTTTGAAGACGTGAAGAACAACTCTGCGGTCGAGAGCCGAGACCACCTTCGGGTGATCCTGTTCAGCGAGCCAGTCTGGTCGACTAGCGAAGCGACCTGTTCACGTAGTTGAGCGATGTCTCGACGAGTTGCAGCCAGCTCGTCACGAAGAGAACGAGTCGAACGTTCGTTCTCAAGCTGTGCGAACGCAAACGCGGCACGATCGTCCGAACGATTGTGCACTAAGGAATTGTAATCATCCTTTACAAGACCATGGAGCCCATAACTCCGAGTCCGTTCATGAGCCAGGTCATCTTGTAACTGATCCGTTGCACGGTTCAGCTCTTGAACATCAAGCTGGTCCGACCCTCAAGCCGGATCAGGTGTTGCCGCCAACACCACATCCTTTGGTGGATTCAAGCGGTGGTCAACACTCTCTAGTGAAGCGTATTTTGAACCACCGCGACGTGATTGGCGTCCGGACGAGTTACCTTGTACGCTGGCGTGGCTACCCACCGGCGTGGGACAGCTGGGAGCCTCTTGCCCAGCTGATTGTTGATGTCCTGGGTCTTTTCGAGCAATTTGACGAGACCAACCCGCTGCGTTCGAAGAAGGGCCGTCGGAAAACGACCTTTCAGAACGCGAGTACAGGGATTGCAAGGTGTCAATCCCTTCGTCCATCTCGGAAGAGGTGCATGCCCTCCAGCAGGGATCATTAGGGAGGCAGGAATTCCTAGGGCACGGTTCGAGTTGTCCAGACAACTCGGACACGAATCACCCCACAGAGACAGGGTAATCCTGCCTCTCTTAACATCCAGTGAAATTTGTATCGCACCCCGGCTAGGTTGAGTTTCTCAAACCTGATGCGAGCTGCATCAAGTTTGGCGAGCCAGGCCTCACGTCCAATGCACTCGATGTTATGGATGAGGGCATTCCATCCTTGCACCAAGGCTTTGCCGTCTCGAACACGGCTGCCATTGTACCACCGATGTTTGAAAAACGCATCGGTGAAGAATTCTTCCTCAGCACGGATAGATTCCGTGCTGGAGTTAGGAGGGCAGATCCTCCTACAGTCGAAAAACGGGATTCAGTCCCGTTCGGTGGTCATGCCGGCCAACCGGTCCAACTCTCTGGATGACGGCATCGAAGGAGACTCTACTTGAGGAGCGTGGTACAGGACATTTAGGTCCCTGGCCTCTTGATTGGTATCAGCATGAGCGCTGACACCAGTGACACCCCGATCCCTTGAGTTTCTTCGCTCGTGGTGATGTATAGGCGCATCACCACCATCCCCACGCGTCCTATCGCTAAATGGACTTTCCTGAGGCGGAGATTCTTCGAAGTAATCGTCGATCCGAAGATCATAAGCATGATGCTGCCACGTTGACCAGAGCCAGTCAACCTGGCTCTTACAGTGTCCGCCCGGGTGATCCGGAGGCGTGAGGTGTCGTCTTCGAGTCGGATGCATCATACGAATCGCCAGAGTTGATGAGCTCTATTTCAGACTCATCTTGATTTCGATTCGTGGTACCCGCTTCAGACGCAACGGATGTACCTGTCACACGTGGTGACTCACCACGTGGACGATTTACACCAACAGGCGACGAATCGCCTGCTGCTGAGGTGTGAGAAGTACTCTATCCGGCTGCACGCATGCGTGCAGCCGCCTTTCATGCTGCTGCAGTAGCAACTCGCTTGGTTTTCGAAACCATCCGTTGGATTTGCAAATGAGTGGAATTTGACCAACAAGTGCTCCCTTTCCCAGAGCGATCCAACGGTGGTCACCCTGTCCCAATCAATCCCATTCAATCAACGGGTGATTGATGGTTAAGGGGTGGTGGTGATGTAACGGGGTAGCCCGTTACATGAAATTGGCACCAAACGGTGTCAATTGGAATATTGTCTAGCATGACAATATTCTATCAATATTATCCGAGATCGATAATATTGAAGGAATATTATCCTCCTTTGATAACATTCATGCGCTGCTCCAAAATTTGTTGATCAAGACATATCAACATAGATTGCCACCAATCGCTGTTAGATGTGTGCAATGAGTGGTGAGCAGGTTGTCGTCACACGACGACGTAGTTGAATATAGTCAGATAAATATTAAAGTTATATTGATAGCGAAAATACATATATACAGTTCTCTCTACATGGTTTATATAGTTAGATAAGGTTTATCGTTTTATTGATAGCGAAACTATACAGTTCTCATTCCTTTACTTAAATGAGTCGTTTAAGTAGATTCGCTTTCTCTGCACGTACTAGTGTACGTGAAGTTTTGCGGTACCCCAAAAAAAGGGTGCCCCATTACAGAGTCTACTTCTTTAGAACTAATATCGCTCTTTGAGCACGATATATTCCTCTTACTTAAGGAGATTTGTAGCTCCGCTACGTTTCTGGTTTTCTTATGGTACGTGTAACGGGGTCACACTAGCCTTTGGCTGAATTGGTCAAAGACCTCCCATAAATGATATGGATGAATGTGTGTGACCTTAGATATCATATCAGCAAGAGAATATCGATTGATCGATATTCCCAGGTTCACGGTACTTACCGTGTATGTACTTTGTACCGTCATTATTTGATGGCTGAGTGTTGTGGCAACCATCCATTTAGTTCGGATACTAATATTTGTATTTAGGATAATATAGGGTACATAAAGTAGGATTTTCGTTGACATAAAATCTAAATAGAGTTCAGTTCTCATTATGAGCAGAAGTCCCTAGAACCCCCCCTTTTCGCACCTTACGTTTGACAGTTCCTTAGAACTGTCGTAAGTTAGAGAATCTTTAGACTCCGGTATCCCTATTTCGAACATTGTCGTGTTGTTCCTTAGAACTACAGTAGTTGAGCTGTTAGCCCGTAGAGTTCACCCGGGTTCCGTAGAACTGGGTGACTTGTTAACTTGATATATTAGTTCCGTAGAACTAATTGGCTGTCAGCCGTAAGCCGTTGGCTTGTTAGATAAGTCTTCCTCTGACTGAAGGAGCTGTGTAGCTCCGCTACACTTGGTAGCACTCGTAGTAAATCCTTCACCTGAGTCGTTTCGACTAATCCTCTGTGAGAGATGGAAGGCCTTGACTACCTCCTTGAGGCTAAACGTATCGCGCTGATAAGCTTAGATCGTTGATAGGGGTCGAGCAGATCGACCACATTGTGGCCCAAGGCCCAGAAGTGCTTAAGGCACGTCTTGATGCATTTATGCAGTTTGAGGCTACGCTGATAGGGCAGGTCCACGACCATTTAGCCTAAGCCGTGCCTACACGGTACTTTCCGGTACCCGACAGTGAGTCCAAGACTCGTCCGCTAAACCTTAGCGTTAAGACTTTCGAGGGGAAAGAGGGGGGAAGTCTCCCTCTCTGATTTCAAGAAATCGATATGGCTATTGAAGCTGCCTTGCTCAAATTGGAGCGACAGAAAGTTGGCCTAGCCATTTTTAAGCTCGGTGGTAGATGTAAAGAATGGGCTCTTACCTGTGATACGTCGGTTAGCGCTGCGTTTCGCACATGGGATTAGCTTAAAAGATAGATGGCTCGGGTGTTCGCGCCACCGAATCAAGCGTATCGTGTTCGCTTTCGATTTCTAACCTCCCGGCAGGGAAAGAGATAATTATCGGACTTTGTCCAAGAGTTGCGAACTATCATAGCTGCTATGCAGCTGGACCCTCTTCCAGAGCAAGTCCGTGTCACCATTTTTACGGAGGGCCTTCGCACGGGGATCGCGAGGACGAAAGTCTTCCGTGTCCACCCCTCAACGTTTCAGGAGGTTTTAGACATAGCGTTGAATGCTGAGCTTAACTTTAAAGCCGCTCGCTATGGCACTCATGGGCATGCCCGAAGATCATTTGATGGGGCTGAGCCCATCGACCTCATCCATGCTGAAGAAGAAGAGAGAGATCTTCTGGCTGTTAAAAAGCAACGTAACGTCCGTAGATGTGACATGTGCGGGAGCACCAAGCACTTGCGCCCTCAGTGCCCACTGCGGAAGCCGCGTCAAAGTCGGCCGAGCCGCAATCCACCTCCTAAGCTGAAAGTGTGTACAAAGCGGGAAACGGCAACTCCCAGTAGACGCGGGGCGCCCTACTGGGGAGGAACTAGGTTCTGCCGAATCTTTAGGTGGTAAAGATAGACAGGGCTTAGCCCCAGAAGGTCTTGTGGAAGTTTCCACGAGACGTGAGTATAAGCCAGGCTTGTTAGTGACCTTAGCTACAATAAAGGGCTCCGAAAAGCCTTGGTCAATATTAATTGACGCTGAAGCGTCAGGCAACTATTCTCGACGCCGGTCCTAGAGGGATGTTAGCAAAATGCTGAGGCGCTGAAAGCGCGGGTGATGTTATCACTGTTCGCTTAGCGACAGGTACTCGTGTCACCGTACCTAAAATTTCGTTATGCTTAGGTGTAAACTTTTGAGATTTTGATAGTATCGAACGTTGTCTTGTCCTGGATTTGGACTCGAGATATGGCCTCACCCTTGGTATGGCTTGGCTTGAACGCAATGAGCCATGGGTTGATTGGAGGTCGAAGACCTTAGGCGCAACGCGCAACGTTCTTAGTGAAGCTTTGGAGAGTCATGAACCCACCTTTGCTAGGCAACACAAGGGCTATTGGCGCGCGCCACTGACGGAGTTTGTCAGTGCGCCTGACATTGGAGTGTCTGAGCTAGTTAACTCTGATGTCATTAACAATAGTGAAACGGCATGTTTTCCGTTAAGTGACACTAATAATGACAGTGAACCACTGAATGCTGGAAGCAGTGATGGCTAAAGGTCGAGTCATCCTGGGTGTGATCCCTAAGATGCTCGTGGAGTGGCACATAAACATCCACAGAGTGAGGTCAGCCGTGATGGCACCCCACTAAATGTCAGTAATGACATTGTTGGCGATTCTCCAAGGCATCAAGAGCTATGCTCAGCTTATGCGCGTGGTGTGGCACGTAAATATCCACAGAGTGAGGTCGGCCGTGATGGCACCCCACTAAATGTCGGTAATTGACATTGTCGGCGATTCACCAAGGCATAAAGAGCTATGCTTAACAGATGCGAGTATTGGGGTTGTGGCACGTATAAATCCACCGAGTGAGGTCGGCCGTGAGGGCACCACACTTAATGTCGGTAATGACATTGGCTCTCAGAGAGAGCATCACGAGGTTGAAGATAATCTTCACCTCGTGGAACCGGATGTTCCTAACACGTTAAAGTGTTCAATTTCTGTACAGAGACGACAGTGACGCCATATGGCGGCTGTGAAAAGAAAGACATCTGCCATGACCCAGAAGGACACTACTTATTAGTTGTACACGTTAGTCAATGAGGTGTCGGGTGCGATTGATGGAGAAGTTGGCCTCGAGGCCCTCCCATCGATTAATGCTCTGCTAGAGCTAGAAGAAATGTGTAACGGGGCACCCTCAAGCTTGTACTGGTGACAGTACAAGCTACTTTTTCTGATGACAGAATGAGGCGGTGCCGCGTAACTTCACGTACACTGGTACGTGCAGAGGAAGACGGTAAGGAGAAGCGAGTACTTGGTTAAAGTAAAAAGTAGATTTGTATTTATAATAGTTAATGTCTGCAATAAATCACTATTTATCTTCATCTAACTATGTCTAAATACAAATGTGTAAATCAGTTATCTGCTCACCACTCATTGCGTGCGTCTGTCGTGGCGCGTCTTCGTTGGTTGATATAATGGCCTATATCAACCAATTAGAAACTATTCGTAAGTGCTAAAGAATATTGTCCTTATGACAATATTCTGAGAATATAACTCTTATAGTTACATTCTATTAACAATTTCTTATTAATTGTTATGTAACGGTGCACCCCGTTACATCACCCCCCCCTTAACCATCAGTGACTTTAGTGACTGATTGAAAAAATAGATACTCGTCCCAAATCATTTGGGACAGGGTTTGCACTTGTTGGTTCGAGTCCACTTTCCAACAATTCATCGCATGGTTAACAAGCCCATGCGATGCGCGAGCAAGGCCGCCGAGATCGCGTCCGCACGTCTCTGTGCGGACGCCGAAGCAGAAACCACAGCAACTGATGTCTCATCGGTTGCTGAAGCGACTCAGCCTGTGTCACCTGGTGATGCAGGCGCTGGTCATGAAGACACTCATGTCTTCATAGAGTATGAGCTCGGTGTCTCATACTCTCCTGATACGGAGGACGGATCCGTATCGACGGCGATCGAATCTAAGCCGCCTGCCAAGCGTGGCATGGATGATGCTATGCGTCGAAGCATCTTTGGATCATCTGATGAATCAGATGAACCATCGCCGAAGCGAAGGCGCTCGAGGTTGCGAGACTCGGGCGCTAACAGTGGTGTCGGTTCTCCTATGGACACCACTTCACAGCGAGGTGCCAGTACTTCTGTCGGCACGTCGCAGGAAGAGCGGGACCGCAATGTGTTGCGTCTCGCTCCTGAAAAGAAGGCATGGATGCCTCCTAAATCCGTCATGGATCACTTGTCGGCGACGACGAGTGATTGTTATCGAACACGATTGTTCGATTCGTCAAGGATCCATCACCTTGACCCAAGCGCGAAAAGCTATCGCGCTGAACATGAATTCTTCATCGATGCTTTCTTCAAACATCGATGGTACAGTGGGAATCACAAACGTGATGGTCCCTCACTGCTCCAAGCGTGGAACGCCTACATCCATAACCTCGAGGATGTAGGTCGTGACGCTTGGAACGACAAACTTATCAAAGCTCGTGATAAGTTTGAAAAGCGAACCCGACAGGTGCACGCTACAAGCTGCATCGTCTGTCAAGGGAGAAAGGATTACCCTGTCTCTCCTGGGGAGACCCGTACCCATGTTGTGTGAACAACTCTGCGCGCGCACCTAAGGAGGCTTACCTCCTTACTAGCCCGTGGTGGCGCGTACGTATCTCTACTGAGATGTACGAAGGGATAGACAACCTGAAATCCCTTTACGACCGTGCCGGAAAGACTTTCTCCGGCGGTCACTCTGTGGCACAAGATGTGCCACGTCGTACTGCTCGACCAGACCCCGTGAGTCAATCAACAGTTGAGAACGGGGCTCCCAAGTATCCCAGGATGGGGGATAACCGCGCCACCGGACGAGGTAACTCGCCCGACGTCCGTTCACGTCGCGGTGGTTCAACAGCCGCTCAATCAGATAGCGCTGGCCACCGCGAGAGTCCTACAAAGGAGGTGGAGGAATTGGGAAAACGCTCTCCAAACTTTAGTGGGGGAGTGCGTTTCCCCGAGAGCCACTTTGATCGCGTAACGCAAGCGTTGCGCGGCAACCTCGAACATGAGCGGTACAGGTGTCTCCAACTGGCGGACACTGTCTTCGAAGCATCGAGCTGAGTTTTCCTTTGCTAAGCTTGAGAACGAGATAGCTTTGACATCTCTGCGTGACGAGCTAAGGGTAGCTCGTGGGGATATTGAACGGTCTCGGGCTGAGAAAACTGCTTATCAGAACCTTGTTGATATCCACCATCGGGAGCACAAGGCCCTCTGTGAGATGCTTGAGCGCAAGGGCGTTCTTCATCGGAAGAAACAGCGCACTGATGGTACGGCTTAAGCCGACCAACGTAAAACGTGGGATGCGTTCGCATCTTACGTGGCAGTTCGATCGTGTATGCGTTGTCTAGGCGATGCAATACACGAAATGGACCGATGTACTTGGGTAGTAGTTTACTACTACCCGCGTTAGTCACTACATGCTTTGGTAGATTAACCGTAGACAGTAGGACTAAGTCACCTTTATTAAATAAAAGAGTGTTTGCCCTTCCATTCTTGTCAGCGTTTTGCTTTTGCTTATCCACCGCTTCAGCGATGGAGTCTTGCACAAAACGGACTACCGTTTCACGAGCCAGTATGAATTCATCTGATGAATCGTTAGCTTCAGTGCGCTTTGAGTGCACTACAGCGACATCAATCTTTTCTTCAATGAGGGCTTCCGCATTCTCACTGGCATCATCTTCTTTGATATCGATGTTATTGATATTGGCATCAAACGCAATGAACTCATCGTCAGAGCATGATGAGCGTGAACCAAATCGTTTTTTGTTCGCGCGAGTCTCTCCCCCTTAAACCAGAGTTACACTCGAGTAAGGTGGGTACACGCGGATGGCGCAAGCCATTCACGTAGAACGGTGTATGTGTCGTGGACGCATGCACCGAGTTGTTAATGGCAAACTCTACCATTGGCAAGAACTCACTCCAACTCTTAAAGGAGTGTACGTATCCTCGAAGTATCTCTTCGAGGACACGATTGGCGCGTTCCGTCTGACCATCTGACTCCGGATGATCAGATTTAGACATCTTCAAGCGCGTTACGAGTGATTTGAACACGGAACGCCAGAAATTAGCAGTGAATCGTGGATCTCTGTCTGATACGAGTTCACGGGGTAACCCGTGAAGTCGGAAGACGGTGTCAATAAAGACACAAGCACAGCCACTTGCTGTGATTGACTCTGGTACAGCCACAAGGTGTACCATTTTGCTGAATCTGTCAACAAATACGAGAATACCCGTATTCCTGCGTGCGTCTTTGGGTAACCCGAAGACGAAATCCATTGAGGCGGATTCTCATCTTTCTGCCGGAACCAGTAGAGGCTGTAAAGGTGCACGCAGTGAAGGACTTGACTTCACTCGTTGACAGACTTCGCATGCGCGAATGTACTTGCGCACAAACTGATACTGGCGGGGCCAGTAAAAGTCTCGACTCACCGTGAGATATGTCTTCTCACGGCCACGATGTCCTCCTATAGGAGCATCGTGATACTCGAACATGATCCGCAAGCGCAGATCAGTATCATCTGGAATGACAACATGTGGTGTGTCACCAGAAACGGCTGCATAATTCAGTCAACCGTTGCGAGTAGTGTATCGATCTGTTGCAGATCGATACGCAGACGACAATCGTTTCAACGATTCTCGAGATGGCTGTGAGAGATGTGTCATCAGCTTCACTATCTCACCATCTTGGGCATATGCCCGCCTCACATCATCATACAACGTTGTAGATGGGACTGAGGACGTCAGAACCGCAACAGTGACTGCCTCACTGTTGGGTTTCACGACTGGTTCAAAGTCGGGACGACGTGAGAGTGCATCAGCGACAACATTAAGTCGTCCTGGTTTGTACTCAACCGTAAAGTTGTATTCTGCAAAGAATGACAACCACCGCGCCATTAGTTGTGAAAGGTGCGGGCTGTTTACTGCCGTGTGTAACGACGCATGGTCTGTGTAAACAATGAAGGGTCTATTTCCTAATAGATAGACTTTGAACTTTGCGAGTGCATACTTCATGGCAAGGAGTTCCTTGTCATGCACTGGATAAATCCGCTCAGAGGGTTGCAGCTGACGCGACTGATAGCAGACGACGCGTTCAACGCCTTCAAGATCGTACTGCATTAATGCACAGCCGATTGCGAAATCGCTGGCATCACAGACCACATGAAGTGGCCTGTCCTGATCGGCAATCGATAGGGATGGGGATTGTATCAAGCTCTGCTTGATACCATTAAAGGAGCGTTGACATTCAGCGTTCCATAACCACCTCTCGTTCTTTTTCAACAAACGAGAGAGGTGTACAGTCATCTCGGCGTAATTGCGTGAATACTTATGCAAATACGCCGCTAGCCCAAGGAATTTCGAAGACCTTTGACATCAACCGGCACTGGCCAGTCGGTGATCGCCTTGATCTCTTCGGGATCAGGACGTACACCGTTCTTACCAACGATGCACCCAAGAAGTGGTGTCCCGCTTGCTGCAAATATACACTTCTTGAGGTTTGCATACAACTGATGCTTTCGCATGATTGTAAGAACCTGTCGGACGTGGTATTGGTAAACCTCAACGTCCGACTTTCCATCCATAGCCCGACTATGGATGGTAAACCTCAACGTCTGACTTTCCATCCATAGCCCGACTATGAATGAATACGTCATCCAGAAAACTCGGTGCGAATTTTCGTACTGGTCTCAACAGATGTGTATACACATCTGTTGAACGTGGCAGGGGCATTACTAAGCCCTTGTGGCATTACTATCCATTCCCAGAGCATGCCGCTAAGCGTGCTTACTGCGGTATAGGGTGTATAACGCTCTCGCACAAGGATTTGATAGAAGCCATATGTCCAATCCATGGACAAAAAGATGGTACTCTTTGACATACCATCAATGATGACGCCCTTCCTTGGTATCGGCGTCTGAGCCGGTACCGTTGCAGCATTCAACTTGTTGAATGCATGCAATATCCGCCACCCTCCTGTTGCTTTTCACACACAGAAGGTCGGAGAGCTATGTGAGGAAGTTGATTCCCTCACATGGCCAGCAGCTAAACGATCGGCAAAAAACTTGTTGATCGCAAGCACTTGTTCACGAGGCAGTGGCCACTGCTTCATGACACAGTACTTCGAGCCTGGTTTAAGCTCGACCTCGTGTCGAATACCTTTATCCTTCGGTAATTCGCACGGAACAGTTTCATGGAATACATCCTTGAATTCAACCAAATCTTTATAAAGAGGATTTATCTTGAGCGATTCCCACGATTGGGAGCCATATCGCTCAATTCGTGTCTTTTTATCTAGGACATTCTCGTCCATAGATGAACGACTGAGAATCTCGTTTCAGGAAATTTACAGATGAACTACTGAGAACTCTATCGTTCTCAGTAAGCATTTTTGCTGACCTTATGTCGGTTGCACACTCGTCGTCAGCGACGAGTACGCAGATCTGCTTGACTTTGCCACTACGCAGATCACGCAAGAACCTTTCATGTTCGAGCGTTGGCAACTGAGTGATTTCCGAAGTCCACTTCGGAGGCGCAATCAGATCAAGTGTATAAGCGCCTACACTTGATCCGTTATTGACTAGGACATTCAATGTCTCTGTCATTTCCTGGCGACTTATTCCCTCAGGCCTCAAAAGACTTATTCCTTCGGCTTCCCGGGGACTTATTCCCTCGGGTTTCGGGGAACTTATTTCCACCGTATCTGTAATATCGGGACTTATTCCCTTAACTTCCTCTGTCTGTAGTTGCGCAACCACAGCGAGATCCTCTAAGAAAGACTCTTCAGTCGATCCAGGATTATCGTTTCGCTTAGCCTGAGCGATTGATGGTTTCTCTTTTAGATGTTCCCGCTAGGGATAAATCTTTGTCCCGGTCCGCTCGACTTAGTCAAGTGGTGGACCTTCCGCGCAGCCTTTGTTTCCTCACAGCCGCCGGAACTTTGCTCCGAAGTGTAACCGTTTGGTACACTAAGGTTTTGTGCAGTCGTACTAACGACCGTACCACAAGTGAGGCCATCACACTCACTCGTAGAACATCCACACGCTTGTGGACGCTCCAAAACGTTCATCAGATGGCCATCTGATGAACAAACGGCAGGCATCGTTACTGTTCGATGTTGCCAGTTTACTCGTGTTTCGTACCTTCTGAGCCACGGTATCCCAAGGATGACATCAAATTTGTCATCCAAATCCAATACGACAAAGTCATCGTCATACTGGGTATCTTCTAGCGTATAGTGGATCTTCACTATACGCTTCATGACGGTTACGGATGCGCCTGTCGCAAGACGTACCGTCATCCTCGTAGGAGGTGTGTCACATTCACTGAACTTGAAGTGACCATCTTCTAGCGATTGGCGTCGCACAAAATTGTTGGACGCCCCACAATCGACTAGAGCTCGAAGGGACAACTTATTCGTCACTTCGAGTTTCAAGGTAATGAGTGAGATCTCATTACCTAGTGCAGCAACGCACAGTGATTGTGTGTTAGGAGCAACCTTCATCAAGAGGCCTACAAATTCTCTTGACGTTGCTGGACAAGTAGGGTGCTCTGCACCTACTGATCCTGTCCGTTTTTTGACGGTCCATCCCGTTGTTGCGTCTTTGCATCAACAGCGTGCCCTCGTCCCTGCCCCTTTCTCATGGGTGGACGGTCACTACGCCCAGTGTCGCGAGACACTGGACGAGGGGCACTACACTCTTAAGCGTAGTGTCCTGTCTTTTGACATCTGTTGCATCTCTGCAACTTCTTTTAGTCTGTAGAGCGAGCCTTCTCGCTCTCTACATAACAGAGTTCCATCAGCTCTAGACCTCCGTTGTCATATCGTCTCGGTTGACGATATGATGTCGAGTTGGCGCGAGCCTGTCTCAGACTGAAGTCTTCCTGCTCCGCAATGGAAATGGCTTGTTCTAGTGAATCTATTTCAAGCCGGAACAGGTGAGTCTTGACGGGACCATCCGCAAGACCCTGCATGAACACCGAAACCAACGTGTGTTCATCCACCGGATTGGAACTTATACAACTCGTAAGATGTCGTATATGTTGGGCGTAAGCGTGCACATCACGCTTACCCTGTTTGAGCTTCAAGAGTTCGGTTCGAGCCCTGAACTCAGCTCTAGGCGGTTCAAACGTTTGTCTGAGCCGCGACTTGAAGACTTCCAACGACCCAAACGCATATGGGTCGTGCAACTTGAGCCCCAGTGCCCAAGTCTTGGCACGTCCTGCCAGATTTGACTGGGCAAATGCAACTTGCATATCCCCGTCGTCGATGCGACGCGCCCTTATGACGTCATCCAATTCGACGAACCATCTCAAGAGGGAGTCTTCTTCGACCCCCCTATACTTTGAGATGTAAATCTTCAAAGTCTCGGGTCGACGCGAGTGCATCGACCCGCCAGCAGCAGCCTGCTGCTGTCTCAACAGTTCAAACTGTTGAGCACCCTGTTCTCTCAACAACTCTGCTTGTTGAGAACCTTGTTGGTGAAGCAAGGCTACTTTCTCGCGTTCGGCGTCAAGTTCATTTTGAATCAACTTGGCGATAGAAGCATGTTGGGCATCTCTATTGAGAGCCTCTAGCATGACGCTAACAGCATGGATGCCCATGGTCGAACCCATTCGTTCAACCGCATCCCATTCGACATCGCTCAAATGGGAGTAGCCGTCACGCGTAGCGTGAAAGCTTTGGTCATCTTCATCATCCAACATATTCATGTTAGATGTGAACGTGGTCCTTGGACGGACTACGAAGTGCTACCAGGTGTAACGGGGCACCCTGAAGCTTGTACTGGTGACAGTACACGCTACTTATTCTGATGACAGAATAAGGCGGTGCCTCGTAACTTCACGTACACTCGTACGTGCAGAGGAAGACGGTAAGAAGAAGCGAGTACTTGGTTAAAGTAAAAAGTAGAACTGTATTTAGTATAGTTAATGTCTGTTAATAAACCACTATTTAACTTCATCTAACTATGTCTAAATACAAATGTGTATATCAACTATCTGTTCGCCACTCATTGCGTGCGTCTGTCGTGGCGCGTCTTCGTTGGTTGATATAATGGCCTATATCAACCAATTAGAAACTATTCGTAAGTGCTGCAGAATATTGTCCTTATGACAATATTCTGAAAATATAACTCTCATAGTTATATTCTATGAACAATTTCTTAGAAATTGTTATGTAACAGTTCACCCCGTTGCAAATGTCTGTAGAAGAATTTCATCAAGTTTTAAAGGCTGGTGCTTTGTCCGATATGGTGGTTATAAGACCTGAACTTGATTTGAACTCGTCATCCCTTGTAAATGAGACTGTCCTTGAGGACATTTAAGTTGCACTCAGTGCTCGTAGTGGATCTGCCATTTTGAAGGATCCTTCGGATCCCTTCTAAATTTTGGTAAAGGAATTTCAGGACGTGGTGTGTCATGATCTACCACTCTATATCCCGACAGAGGTGTGCGTCATGAAATTGACCTGGTCCCTGGGACCAAATATTGCATTACACGTCAATGGCCATTGTCTAAGGAACAGTGTGACGTCATTGACGACTTCTTTCGTGCAAAGCACGCAGCAGGCATGGTGCGGGAGGGCAAATCTCCACACTCGACACCGACATTTTGTGTCAGAAAACCCCATGGTAAGTGGCGTATTGTGCACGCTTACAATAAGCTCATTGCGGCTTTATACCTGCGCAGACACCTATTTATAGAAAGGATGTTTTTCAGAACGCTATGGTGGGTTGCACCATGTTTAGCGCACTCGACTTAGTCGATGGTTATTACCGACTGCTCATGCGAGCGAGTGATATTCCGCTCACAGCGGTTAGCACGCCGAGTGGCATGCTTTGGGAGTGGATTGTTATGCCTCAGGGACTTTCTAATGCCCTTGCAACATTTAATCGTCTCGTGACGCAGTTGTTCAGACCTCATAGAGGATATGCCCAAAGCTATTTTGATGACATTTTTGTCCATAGCCGTGCAGAACAAGGAAGATCAGATGTGGACAATCACATTGGCCATTTAAGAGCAGTGCTCGGGTGCATGCGCACCAACAAGTTGTATGCAAATGCATCTGAATGCATTTTTGGTGCTGAAGAAATTTCCTTTTCTAGGGTAATTCATTGGAAAGCGCGGCATACGGGCAGATATCACTAAGGTAAAAGCCATTGTGAATTAGCCGGTTCCGTCTCCCCAAAAGATTTGCGTAATTGGCTTGGTTTAGCCAATCACTTACCCAAGTATAGTGCAAACTATGCTATCATGGCAAGGACATTAACCAACCTCCTTAAAAAGGACGCGGTTTGGTGTCGGGACTCGGTTCAGGCACAAGCTTTTCAAGCTGTATAGGAGAGTCTCCTTCATGCTCCAGTTTAAATTTGCCTGACCCGGAGAGAGCTTTCACTGTCGTCTGTGAATTATCTGATAATGCCTCGGCAGTTCATTGTTTTAAACTGATGTCGATGGACATGAGCGCGTCATTGCGTATGAGGATCGCCAGCTATAAGCTGCTGAAAAGAACTAATCAGTTCATGACAAAGAGTTACTTGCAAAAAAGTATGCTCTCGTCAAGTTCAGAGTACTACTTGGCTCCAAGCCGTTCGTAATCTACAAGGATCATGCGTCGTTACGCACGGCGAACCAGTCGCCTCATCTCTCGCAACGTATGGCCCGTTGGGTTTCATTCTTTGCTGAGTATGCCTTCGAGGTGAAGTGTAAACCAGGGAAGCAAAATGCTTTGGCTGATGCGTTATCACGCAGGCCGGATTATGAGCTTGCTCATGTTACTGCTTTGTCGTCTTCTATCCCTATTTTTAATCCATGCGGCTTATGACAAGGATGATCAGTGCGTCGCGTTGTAACACGCATTCGGTTGTGATGAGTTTCAAGACTCGGACAGGAAATTGTCGGCACGATCGCGTGCAGGGTACATCGATATTCTTTCGATCATTTCCATTTGTGCTATAGCACGGATGCGGCGGATACTTTGCGCACCGTCGTACCTCACGATAAAGGAATTGAAGTATCGTATCCTCTTTGAGGCGCATGATACAGCTTTGAGCGGTCATCTCGGTCGAGAGAAGACCTATGGCTCGGTCAGCCAACACTATTGGTGGCCCACATTATATAAATGGGTGAGCACATATGTGCGTACGTGTAAAGCGTGTCAACGGTTCAAACCCCCCGCTTATGCGGCTGCGCCTTTGGCGAGCTTGCCTATACCCACGGGTTGTTGGAAATCCATCAGTATAGACTTTGTGTTTGGTTTGCTAACAGATTTGGACGGCAACACTGGTACTGTGGTCTTTGTTGACCGTTCGAGTAAAATGACTCATTTAGCGATAGTAAACGTACAGCACAGCTGTTTGTCGATCGCTTGTTTCGTCAACACGGTTTTCCTTTGGCGATTGTTTCAGATCGCGATACTCGCTTTACGGGGAAATTTGAAAATCCATCTTTAAGGTGCTCGGCACCAGATTGGACATGTCCGCCATGGATCACCCGCAGACCGATGGTCAAACTGAACGCGTTAATCGTGTCATTGGTGACACTTTGCGCAGCGTTTGCGCAGATACGTCTCGGCGTTGAAGCTCTATGCTTCCGGCGGTCGAATTTGCCATGAACAATTCGGTCCATGCCTCGACTGTCTGAACCCCGTTGTATGTTAACGGCCTCATTCATCCGCGCGTCCCATTGACGCTACCACTCCATGGTTCCGGGCTTGGTGGGGGAGGGATTGCCGATAGGCTTGCTGATGTCAGCCCTGCCACTGTTCAGAATTAGGTTGGTGAGTTTTTAAAAACAAGGTTGAACGTCTTACGACATGTGCAAGATGCAATGGCTGATAGCCAAGACAAACAAAAGGAACAAGCAGCTGCCGAGGCGGAAATTGTATTGAAAGTTATGAGGTCGAATCAAATCTTGCTAAACGCTAAAATCTACCTACAAATGTAGCTCAGCTGTTTTTAAACGAAGTTGCGTCCGCGCTTCATTGGACCTTTTACGGTCGTGGCCAAAACGGGCCTTGCGCATACGCTCAGCTTGCCGCGCAAATTGCGTACACATTTCGTCTTTTATGTAGGCCTGCTTAATCCATACCGGGACCCTTCCCATGTTGACTTGAAGGCGCTTGCGCCGCGTACATTGGCATTGCCACATGTTGTTGCATCCGAAAGAAGAGGTCAAGTTGAGCCTCTACACAAGTCTGACGTGACTTCATCATCTGAAGACGGGCGCGATCGCCTTCTAACGTCGCCAGACGAGATCAAGCTTCGCCTAGGGCGTTCTGAGTCTGACCTAAAGTCTCACGGAGATCCTCCACTTTCTTCACCAACTCAGCATGGCTTTCAGCTGATACACGACCGCCACCGGCATTTATTGATAAGCAAGGGATCTTACAGTTCCATGTGAAGCGGTTACTTTAACGACGTCGTCATCATGGTCACTACCAATATCTGGTGAAGTGGCGTGGGTACCCTGAGTCTGAAAACTCATGGGAGTATGAGATTACCCCTCGGCAAAACTGCCCATACGCCGATGACGTTTTTAAGCGCCACGGCCGAGCCCGTCTTGACGAGCGTCACGTTTCTCACTCGTCGTAGTTAGAGCGGGCGAGTTAGTGCCAAAAGATTGACGTGAACTCGCAGCTGCAGAGGCAGACGAAGCATAGCGGGAGCGTGATACTCCCCGCAGACGGCCTCTGGCCTTCAACTTCGCGAAGTCATAGCATAGATTTCGCTCTAGACGAACGTCTGCCACATTGGCACTTCCGCGTAGCGCGTGTACGCTACTGAGGCGTCGGACGCCATGCACCCAGCGGATGAACATATTGTCCTCCGCAGTTTCGTCCCCATCTTCGGACATAATGATGGGTATACCCCTAATTTGTGGAACCGGAGTTCCTTGGGCCTGTTGTTGCAGCCGTTCTCTGCATTGACTCAAAGTCATCACAGTAGGTCAAAAGTACCTCTATCGAAGAGCCTTGCGGCATTCGAGTTCAGCGGGCGTTTTTGCTTCGGGGCCGGTGGCCCATGTTGCCAAAGTATGGCGTGACGCTTGACGAATGAGCTCTTCCACGCCAGGTGGAGTGAACGTATATTCACTACGTCGTTGCAACGTTGTCTGAACATCTGACTTGCGCCGTGCGCTTGCCGCTTGATCGAGCATGCGTTGTTGCTCCTCGTTAAGCGGGTAAGTGATGATGGATGTATTAATGGGGTACATTGCTCCCAGCGTTGTTAGCGCAGTCGCGGCACTCTGTCCGGGGAACGGATTAGGTGACAAATGGGTAATGTCCTCACGCACAGGTGTGCTGGGTTTAAATTTCTCCTTCCCCTCGACTTTGGTATCACTACCAATGTCAAAGTCCACGTCCTCAACACAAAGGAATTCGGCTAGAGCCTTATCTTGCAGGAGGTGCCCAGGTCGGTCCATGTGAGTGCGTTACTTTGTAACAAGTCTCAATGGAAAAATTGATCGAGTGACGTCTGTGGTAACGTCAGTCTGGTGGGGAAGGGTGTAACGGGGTCACACTAGCCTTTGGCTGAATTGGTCAAAGACCTCCCATAAATGATATGGATGAATGTGTGTGACCTTAGATATCATATCAGCAAGAGAATATCGATTGATCGATATTCCCAGGTTCACGGTACTTACCGTGTATGTACTTTGTACCGTCATTATTTGATGGCTGAGTGTTGTGGCAACCATCCATTTAGTTCGGATACTAATATTTGTATTTAGGATAATATAGGGTACATAAAGTAGGATTTTCGTTGACATAAAATCTAAATAGAGTTCAGTTCTCATTATGAGCAGAAGTCCCTAGAACCCCCCCTTTTCGCACCTTACGTTTGACAGTTCCTTAGAACTGTCGTAAGTTAGAGAATCTTTAGACTCCGGTATCCCTATTTCGAACATTGTCGTGTTGTTCCTTAGAACTACAGTAGTTGAGCTGTTAGCTCGTAGAGTTCACCCAAGTTCCGTAGAACTGGGTGACTTGTTAACTTGATATGTTAGTTCCGTAGAACTAATTGGCTGTCAGCCGTAAGCCGCTGGCTTGTTAGATATAGCAGTGTCAGAAACTAATACGGCTACCGTTATTGCAGGCCTTGCGTACACTTACCCTTGATAAACACTGTAACATCAAGAAGTATCCCAGAAGTATAAGCGAGCGTGTATACTTCAGGTCCTTACAAGCTCTTTGATGTTCTGGTTGGCTTGTACACACTCATCGGTACTAGTGATAATTAATTTTGTTCAGCCTTCGGGTACCAAAAGCAAATGATTTTCTGGACGCTGTAAGCGATGCATGCGGGCTTTATCTCGGACACTAGTTTGCTCGACTCTGTAGCGTAGTCCATTCTAAAGGCAAACCCAATTTTTCAATACGTGCTGCTTGATATCGGAGCTTTATGTTTCGTCGGGCTATGCGATGACAGACTTGCCAAGCTCGCCAGCGCAGTACTTGAACATTAAGTGTAACGGGGCAGTCTTTGTTTGGGGTGCCGCGAAACTTCACGTACACTAGTACGTGCAGAGGAAGCTAATTTTTTTAAACGACTCGTTTAAGTAAAGGTAAAAAGAGAACTGTGTATTTAATGTAGTTTCGCTATCAATATAACTTTAATCTTTATCTGACTATATTAAGCTACGTCTTCGTACGACGACAACCTGCTCATTACTCATTGCGCGCGCCTAGCAGCGATTGGTGGCAATCTATGTTGATATGTCTTGATCAACCAATCTTGGAGCAGCGCATGAATGTTATCAAAGGAGGATAAATTTCCTTCAATATTATCGATCTCGGATAATATTGATAGAATATTGTCATGCTAGACAATATTCCAATTGACACCGTTTGGTGCCAATTTCATGTAACGGGCTACCCCGTTACATCACCACCCCCCCTTAACCATCAATCACCCGTTGATTGAATGGGATTGATTGGGACAGGGTGACCACCGTTGGATCGCTCTGGGAAAGGGAGCACTTGTTGGTCAAATTCCACTCATTTGCAAATCCAACGGATGGTTTCGAAAACCAAGCGAGTTGCTACTGCAGCAGCATGAAAGGCGGCTGCACGCATGCGTGCAGCCGGATAGAGTACTTCTCACACCTCAGCAGCAGGCGATTCGTCGCCTGTTGGTGTAAATCGTCCACGTGGTGAGTCACCACGTGTGACAGGTACATCCGTTGCGTCTGAAGCGGGTACCACGAATCGAAATCAAGATGAGTCTGAAATAGAGCTCATCAACTCTGGCGATTCGTATGATGCATCCGACTCGAAGACGACACCTCACGCCTCCGGATCACCCGGGCGGACACTGTAAGAGCCAGGTTGACTGGCTCTGGTCAACGTGGCAGCATCATGCTTATGATCTTCGGATCGACGATTACTTCGAAGAATCTCCGCCTCAGGAAAGTCCATTTAGCGATAGGACGCGTGGGGATGGTGGTGATGCGCCTATACATCACCACGAGCGAAGAAACTCAAGGGATCGGGGTGTCACTGGTGTCAGCGCTCATGCTGATACCAATCAAGAGGCCAGGGACCTAAATGTCCTGTGCCACGCTCCTCAAGTAGAGTCTCCTTCGATGCCGTCATCCAGAGAGTTGGACCGGTTGGCCGGCATGACCACCGAACGGGACTGAATCCCGTTTTTCGACTGTAGGAGGATCTGCCCTCCTAACTCCAGCACGGAATCTATCCGTGCTGAGGAAGAATTCTTCACCAATGCGTTTTTCAAACATCGGTGGTACAATGGCAGCCGTGTTCGAGACGGCAAAGCCTTGGTGCAAGGATGGAATGCCCTCATCCATAACATCGAGTGCATTGGACGTGAGGCCTGGCTCGCCAAACTTGATGCAGCTCGCATCAGGTTTGAGAAACTCAACCTAGCCGGGGTGCGATACAAATTTCACTGGATGTTAAGAGAGGCAGGATTACCCTGTCTCTGTGGGGTGATTCGTGTCCGAGTTGTCTGGACAACTCGAACCGTGCCCTAGGAATTCCTGCCTCCCTAATGATCCCTGCTGGAGGGCATGCACCTCTTCCGAGATGGACGAAGGGATTGACACCTTGCAATCCCTGTACTCGCGTTCTGAAAGGTCGTTTTCCGACGGCCCTTCTTCGAACGCAGCGGGTTGGTCTCGTCAAATTGCTCGAAAAGACCCAGGACATCAACAATCAGCTGGGCAAGAGGCTCCCAGCTGTCCCACGCCGGTGGGTAGCCACGCCAGCGTACAAGGTAACTCGTCCGGACGCCAATCACGTCGCGGTGGTTCAAAATACGCTTCACTAGAGAGTGTTGACCACCGCTTGAATCCACCAAAGGATGTGGTGTTGGCGGCAACACCTGATCCGGCTTGAGGGTCGGACCAGCTTGATGTTCAAGAGCTGAACCGTGCAACGGATCAGTTACAAGATGACCTGGCTCATGAACGGACTCGGAGTTATGGGCTCCATGGTCTTGTAAAGGATGATTACAATTCCTTAGTGCACAATCGTTCGGACGATCGTGCCGCGTTTGCGTTCGCACAGCTTGAGAACGAACGTTCGACTCGTTCTCTTCGTGACGAGCTGGCTGCAACTCGTCGAGACATCGCTCAACTACGTGAACAGGTCGCTTCGCTAGTCGACCAGACTGGCTCGCTGAACAGGATCACCCGAAGGTGGTCTCGGCTCTCGACCGCAGAGTTGTTCTTCACGTCTTCAAACGGGCTCGTACTGATAGTACAGGCGGAGACGTCCAACGTTAATTTAGGATGCGTACGCATCTTACGGGGCATTTCAATCGTGTACGCGTTGCCCATTCGGCGCAACACACGAAATGAACCGATGTACCTGGGCAGTAATTTACGGCTGCCCACGTTTGTCAGCGGTAAATTACTGCCCAGGTACATCGGTCCATTTCGTGTATCGGTAGGTTTACTGTAGACAGTAAAACTAGGTCTCCTTCATCAAATGAAAAGTACATTTTATCTTCCATGTTTGTCTGCGTTTCTTTTCTGTCTGTCTTGTGCATCTGCAATAGAGTCGTGAACGAAGCGGACAACCGCTTCGCGAGTCAGCAGAAATTTCTCTGCTGACTTGTCCTTGTCAATAGCAGTGCGCTTCGTGTGCACTACTGAAAGAACGTTGTCTTCACCAGTGAGGGCGTCATTGTCCTCACTGTGACAGTCATTGGCGATGCTATATATACCAGCATCGTCGTCGTCATCATCGATGTCGATCGCATCGACATCAGCATCCATCACGTCGACACCATTGTCGACGGGTGATGAGCAAGAACCAGATCAATTTTTGCTCGAACGAGTCTACCCCCCCTTAATCTAGAGTCACACTCTAAGAAGGCAAGTAAACGTGGGTGGCGTAGGCCATTCAAGAAGAACGGTGTATGCATTGTCGACGTTTGCACCGAGTTGTTGATGGCAAATTCCGTCATCGGCAAGAACTCACTCCAACTCGTAAACGAGTGGACGTACCCTCAAAGTATCTCTTCGAGGACGTGGTTAACGCGTTCCGTCTGACCATCTGTTTCGGGATGGTCAGAAGTTGACATCTTTAAACGTGTTCCAAGTGAACGGAACACGGGTTGCCAAACTACGCTGTGAAGCGGGGGTCCCTATCCGACACGAGTTCACGGGGTAACCCGTGAAGTCGGAAAATAGTATCAATGAAGACACGCGCACAGCCCTGGGCTGTGATTGATTCCGGTACACCAACAAGATCTACAATCTTTCTGAACCGATCAACAAACACAAGAATACCCGTATTCGTATGAACGTCTTGGGAAACCCGAGGACGAAGTCCATCGATACGGACTGCCAACACTCTGCCAGAATCGGTAGAGGCTGCAAGGGTGCGCGGGATGAAGGACTAGGCTTCACCCGTTGACAAACTTCGCAAGCGCGAATGTATTTGCGCACAAACTGATACTAGCGCGGCCAGCAGAAGTCACGACTTACCGTGAGGTAAGTCTTTTCTCTACCGCGATGCCCACTTGGTGGGGCATCGTGACACTCATACACGATGCGCAGTCGCAAATCATTATGGGCGCAAACGACTACACGAGGTGTATCGCCGTTGACTGCTGTACAGTACAACAGTCCATCACGAACCGAATACCTTTCGTTTGAAGAGCGGTATTGAAACGACAAGCTTTTCAAAGCTTGATTGCATGGATTACATACGTAATCCATCAACCTCAGAAGATACTCATCTTCTGCGTATGCTTTTCGCACGTTGTCGAGCAGATTCGACGACGGAACACTCACTGTTAGTGTCGCTACAGTGGGATCACTCCTACCGTTGGGTTGAGCAGTCGGCTCAAAATCGGGCCGACGCGAAAGCTCATCACCGACGACATTGAGTCGTCCTGGTCTATACTCCACGAAGAAGTTGTACTCCGCAAAGAAAGACAGCCACCTCA